CCTGTTGCCCATACTGTGATGCCTGCTGGTAGTTCCATGGGCCACCAGACATTGCATCACTGTTCATCTGGTGACTTGCATTCAATGGTGACTTTGTTGCTGGTGTGTACCATTTATACTGTGGTTGCTGAGACTGATGCACTTGCTATAAGTAAAATCAAAAAGAATCTTAAGTTCATTCTTATATTAGTATACAATATGAAAGGTTTTTAATATAAATCAGAATAATGTAAGAAAATAATATGATTTCTTTCATATTTTCTTTTTAGTGATTTATATCAAAGAAAGATAGCTGTCTTCTAGGTTGTAGCATTGTGTAGTTTGGTTAGTCTGGTAAACTTCTATGAGACTGCATGGTGCTACCGCACATAAGACAGCCATCTTCTTACTCAGTGCTGCGAAAAACTAAAATCCTGTGCGTGTGAGTGTGTGTGTGTGCATACATTATTAGGATGACCAAATAAAGTAGGATATGATGCATGGGGCATGCAGCACACATGAAATGAGTACAAAATTTTGGTTTAAAAACCTGAAGGAAAATGACCACTCAGAAGATGAAGGCATAGATGGGATAATATTAAAAAGTATGTTAAAGACAAAAGATTTGGGGGTATGGATTGGATTCATATGCCTCAAGACAGGGACCAGAGTTTAAATCTTGTTATCATGGTAATGAACCTTCGAGTTTCATAAAAGGCAAGGAATTCCTGACTAGCCAAGCAGTTTTTATTAGCTTCTTCAGAAGGGTTCTGCTCCATGGGATTAATCAGTTAATTAGTTAATGGTCTTACTGATATATCAATTAGGCAACCCTATTTACAAGCAGGTTATGTTTTTATGAAAAAATAGAATAAACACTTTCCTTTTAACAGACATACCTTCACATTAAGACACATATTTGCTTAAACCCACATAAATCTACACAAATATGCTTACATCAGTAGGAGGACCTGAATGATGTGTGGGTCTGTTATACTGATGAGCGCTGTATGCAACTCCCTGCTGTCCTGAAACTTCTTTCTTTGCACTGAACCAAGGATGATTGTTTGCAGTGGGGGCAGACATTAGGAAGCATTTGCCTGCAGCCTGGAAAGAAACATATAATGCACTAAACAATAAGTGAAAGAACAATGTGTTACAACATATAAGATAATCTCCAGCAACAATGTTGCTCTCATAGAAGCTGAAGTTCATTGTTTCATCATTTCAATCTAGTATAACATCAAACACATTGCAAAGCACTCATGGGTCTAACATCAAAATATTGACTTTGGTTTCTAAAATGTGAGTTCTTAATTACCATTCAAGGCAACGAAATGCCTATGTTTAATCACAATTGAATAAAAGGATGTGGAGCATACACACACATTTTCATGAATTCTCAGACCAGAAACACAAACGTATTTGTCATAATGAAGACCCATTTAAGCCACCTTGACTACCTGTATGTTGATGACAGCTGTTTTCTGGAGTGTTGCACTTCGTAATGACAGATACTGACCAACATTTCAGAGAAGCTTACAGTCTCCATCATTATTAGGCCCTATGAAATGACCAGTATCTACCAAACTACAGGACACAACAACCCAGAAAACACCTCCTTCCATATTTGCTGCTGTGAAAACCTGAAATCTCACTACTACCAATATATTATTTGTATCGCTGAACAAAAATAAAAGCAAATGACAGTTGCATCGTATTTGCTTGTCGCAAAGTCAATGTCAAACTTCACTTCTTCACATTTATAATAATTTCCCCATCATCAACAGTTCTTTTAACACGAGACCGATCACGATAATTTTTACACGATCATTAATCCTATATTCATCCACTAAAAACAGTACAAATTATGTTTTTCGGGGCAAGAGAGTAAATTTCTTACAGGAAGTGAATTCCCAGATGGTTGGCTTCTTCACAAAAGTTTTATGGTGAACAATATACCAAAACTTGCCACAGCTTTTATAACAACCACTGACACGTATTTTAGATTTTATTGGGAGACCAAAGAATAATCATGTCTGTAAATGTAACTACCTAAACTCATTACATACTCACATCAAAACCAGAACACTCACGTCACCCAATCTACCTTGATTATTTGGCACAAAGATGAACGACGTTATTCGTACTGTCTGGGAAGAGAGCTCCCTATGATTGTTTATTTTAGAACATACCCAATTCAAATTGAAGGCCGTCGTACATTGTATTGACCGCAAGAAAATATAAAACATATCTCTCAAATCTTGTTTCTTGAATTGTTTAAAATAAAATAAGTCTATTACGATCCGCGAGATATTGGTATAACAAATTTTAACCTGACAAAATTTTCTCATTATGCCTATTCAGAATCTTATTGCCTATAATTGATGTATTTCAATTAATATTTTTCCTTGGAATATTGTAGGCAAAATTGATGTCCTCGTATAATTTTTTAGTGATTTTGGCACAGCAATTGTGTTTTTGATTGATGAATTACCGTTACGGTGTATTCTGTTGTCAATTTGTATTTATTCCTCAGACAGTGGCCTTCTTGCGTTGATGAAATAAATACGAATGATGTTAACACACGGAACCTGTTCGTGTGATACATCACTTGCACAATAAAATAACTAAGACAACGTTTTATGCAGGTCCAAGTGCAAGTAACGTACAAAAGCTGAAAAAGCTGAATACAAATATCAATCACCTAAGCTTATTTTTCGCTGAGGATTTCCCAGCAGTAAGCGATGGAAGTAAGGCCGACGCACACTACATCGAAGCGAACCGAACCAGTAAAAATACTTCCCGATCTTATTTTCTGAAATGTTTCGCAACGGAAAACTCAATTCAGATCTGCGAGGTATTGTTGGATACCCAGCCTCAATCACATGCTCCCAAATTGATAATAGAGGCCCCATTTATTAACCATTTGATTCCGAAGCTCGTCTAAATATCATTGGAAAAATTCAGTCCGTACCGCACAGAAAACACTACACTTCACCATTACAAAGATCAACCGGTTAATGCATTTAAAGGATATTGTCACTCTTTACCCTGAGAATCAAACGAATCCGACAAATGCATAACGAAAAGCTACTGACTGTTAAAGCAGGCAAGTGATATATATATATATATATATACACTTGCCACCAGGCTTTCAAAGGTTTAAACAATTTCATCAAGAACTTCAGCTACTAACATGTCTTATTGCTTTAGAAATTCGAATCTCACGCTGTTTAACGGAATTCTTTTATTATAAATGATGCCGTAAACAAACAGAAGTCAATGGAATAAAAAATTGAATTTGTGTTAGAAAGAAGACAAGCCTAATTCTCTTCCAAGAGTTCATAAATATAAATGAAAACCTGTAAATGTTACAAGCAATAATAATAAATAGGATGCCCTTACCTCACTCATTCTTCAAGAGGAAGAGACCTCGATGTCCACCGGCAAAATAAAATGTGAAGAACAGTGTCAAGAATTTCTTAGTATAATAATTCACACAAGAAAAGTACTTTGGTTATTGTGAAAGACTTTTAAAAGCACAAAATTATCTCGCCTACAACACACTTCTCCTACAAGCGATTCACAGCTCAGCTCTTTCCATACTGACGAAAGCGCATTGTTGACGCCATCATACACTAATGAAATACAATACCGAGTAAAAAATTGACAGTGGAACCACGGTTCCGGAGAATTTGACGTAAATACGTCTATTTAATTTATATTTACGTCTCTGTAATGTAATGTAAAGTAGTGAAATGTAATGTTGACGACAGTAATATAACACAACAATGCCGAGTAAACAGATGACGTTTCCTAGGTAACATAACAATGCACGCAAGCTAACAATTGTTGTCAATTTGTTGATACGGATCTTACACATTTTCCTGTCGCTTTTTCGTTACACTTTTTTGCTCAATGACCCTTCCGTATAGACGTAGTTACGTCAACAAATGACGTAACAATTAGTAAAGGAATGGAGTACAATACAGTTTATTCAGTATATTATACTGCATGCATAAGAAATGAGCCTTACGGCATGCTCAGTCATTATTGCTGCAGGTGTGGTTTAGAAATTCCAATACTTCTTATTACATTATTGTACACGCAGGTGTTCATATAAAAGCTGACCATTGTCGTTCTATATTTAGACATTCTTTTGGTTAAAAAAATACAAAGAGAATTACTCAAAACTATAATTTGGTTACATTCCATCCTAACTGTAAAAAGCATAAATTAATATTAAATATTTTCTCTATAAGAAGGAAATAAATTTAAGAGTAAGGGCCATGAAGAAAATTTTACAATTTCATTTGCCTTTATTTAAAAATAACATCCGGTTTTAGTATACTTGCCCGGGCACTGTTGAGTCCATCCCTGGGTGAGAGAAAAATGTTTCCTTCGTTCGGTTCCCGGCAAAGAAGTTTATTGTTGTTCGGATAGTAAGCAGTAGGGAAGAATGGCGCTAAGGCAAATTTCGTTTGTCCCTGGGAAAGGATCTGATTAATTGAGGTCACAAACCCAAAAACATCAGTCAACAATGAGGCAACATCAGACTTCTGAAACCAGTTGTCATCATGCTGCCTGTATATAACCATCTAAAATCATTGTTTGAATCCCCCACACACATCCTGAAACCAACATCCTTATTGTTCAAGGCTGGAACCAACCAGATTCCCATTCTTAATTTGATCTACATTCTACAATGAGGAAGAAGGCAGCAAGTTCACTGATGTATGTGAAGTTGTGTAGTTCCATTACTTTCCAGGGTATAATACTGTGTCCAGGTTTCACAAATTGTTATACTTCCAATAAAGTCACATATGTCTTCTTGACAGTGCAGCACATGGCTTCGTGGCAATGCTTTTGATTTCTGGCAACTTTTTTGCTGTTGTCTGGCAGATACTTTCCATTCAAGGTGCTCAGAAGTAACTTTTCCACATACATACCACTTATATATTCCAATCTCTTCCACAATTTCACATGTAGTCATATTTATGTTAGCTACACTACAGGCCTCGACATGGTGAATGTTTTCGTAAGTGACAATAATACATACTATTACATTTCTTACATCATTAAGAACAGATTCAAACCTCCTGAGTCATGAGTAAACATTTTCCTTTTTACTGTAGACATAAATGTTAGCATTTGAAACATCCTCTGGGGTGAGAAAGTTAATGAAAAAGCTTTGTACTTGCTGCCCATCCACCTGTTCCTTTGTCTTGATCAGTGAAAACAATCAAATACTGAAATTCTTACTTCAATTCACTCGTGGCAATGAAAGAACAGAAAGGGATGCCAGCATGTCATTTTATTTCAACTGCAACAGGGCAAAACAGATAAAGAACCAGGTCCTGAAATTTAATGTACACTCATACAATTACAGAATCTTATTCATTTCATTTGATATGAAATATTATGTGCACAAGAATGTGTTTTAACCCATCAATCCATTACACATCTTACAGTAGTCAGTACATCAACTTGCACAGGCCTATATTCTGGACAGCCCACATCAAAAGATCCCGTGCTGTTTAAAATGATTAAAACCATTTTTAAAAATATAATTTTAAGGTGAGTTTAAAAAAACTATAACTATATTCTACATATATTAAGTACTTCAATTATACCCAAATGTTCTAACAGTTACATATACCAATATCCATACTTAAAACTAGTAACTTCACTACACCATTTTGCCAATAGTCAGTTTTGACATGTCTATGATCAAAAAGACTGTATTTAGCACCCACTTCCAATTAATCTAAAACATAACTGAAACTCTCATAATTTGTCACGTACCAGGAAAACAATACCTGTTACCTACAAAATGTAACCAGGATTGTTCAGGCTTGCTGAGAACACTTACTTATCCACTTCAGTCCTGGCTGACATAACAGAAGCAACACTGGAGATCATGTTATACAAATAAATAACAAGATAAATTTGCACCTGTGATCTGAGGTGTGATAAAAGATGTCCAAACTGAATGTTTTTCTTTATATTTGGTGGCTATTCCATGTTGTCATGGCATTGTTACAGTCTAGAAATGTTGTACATATTGTACATTGATATGTTAATATTTGCTTCTAATTTGTAACCAATCTAATATAACAGGTGTGAAGTATGTGATAATGCAGTCAGCACCTAAAATGAAGAAGACATACAAATATAATAAATGATGCAGACATTTAGAGATGCAACAAAACAAGCAATCTCACAAATTAAATTACTGAAACTGAAATTCAAATACAATATCAGTACATGATGCTTACAACAAAATAACTGCTTGCTGGGTTAAATTCTGAAATTGTTTTCCCAACAATTATACAAAAATTAAAAAGTGACATTTATAATTACCAATGCTATCAGATCTGACTTTTTTATATAGGAGGAAGAGCCATATGATTTGCGTGGCCTATTAAAGCATATAGTTCAAGATATTATGCCATTTATATTATTACCATTATATTTATTATATTTACGAGGCGCGTCCTCAAAGTAAGTTTTCCTGGTTCCGTTTACAGAAACAAAACACAATTTCATGTAAATATTTATTGCAACAGATACAGCAAGTGTCCAGCTATTTTTCAACATATTCGCCACCGGAATTGAGACATTTGTCATACCGTGGGACCAACTTTTGAATACCTGTGTCGTAGAAGTCTGCCGCCTGGGATTGGAACCACTGTGTGACAACCATCTCCGCCTCTCTTTCATTCTCAAAACGCTGACGCTGACGCTGACCGGACAGGAATTTCTTGAGGTGTAGGAAAAGATGGAAATCACTGGGAGCGAGGTCCGGGCTGTAGGGTGAATGATTAAACACCTCCCAGCTGAACTTCTGCAGGAGACTTGCTGTCCGTCGAGTCGTGTGCGGCCTAGCGTTATCACTGACCGCACTTCACAGTCGGCGGGGGCTGGAATAAGAACCTCCATCTTCAACAGCTGCAACGATGCTACTGTGAGAACGCGGGAAGTGCCGTTAGTGCATGCGCCATGCTACGTCATTGCTCTATCACGTACGCACAGTCGCTTCGCGCAATATAAGGTTTGCTAGCTGTGGGACGAGTGGGAAACTTACTTTGTGGATGCGCCTCGTATATTTTATAGAATAATCAAAGTTAAAAGTAACAAGTAGAGCCAAGGTTTACTCAGAATAATGCTAGACTCTCCAGCCTCTTACAAAGTAGACAACAAGTGTACACTAAAATTGCCAGAACACAAAGCTTCCTTCAAATATTAATGCCTAAGAATGAGTCACTACATCTTAACACAAATATGTGAATGCTGCACTTTAGAAAGTCTTCAGGTAGCAAATCTTTGCCATCCATAATAATACCTTACCAAAGAAATGTTAAAAAGCTAGTGATGCAAGTCTTGTTAGGGTAGAAGAGTCAATTAATAAGCAATTAAGCAAATATTACATTACCAGCTCTCCTCATTGAAAGTAAGATTTCTTCCAGAACTCCTCGAAGATCAATGGCACCAGCTTTAGCAGCATGGTATAGCATTGCATATTCACCAGATACCTGAAATTAAAGTAAGTCTTTGTCTTTGTCTATGTCTAATACCTCAAGGTATAGTCAAATGATGACCTTCATCTAGGCACAGGAGTAGAATCCATTTATGAGGTGGGAGCATAAACAGGGCAGAGTCTGTTACTCCCAATAATGACATAATGGGAATGATCGTCAGCAGAAAACATCATCAGATTAAAGTGGATTCTGAACCATGGTGAGGTCCTTACATTCCTCACACTCCCAATGTATAATCTTTGACTCAGGTAAAGTTCCAATCTATGAGCAGAAAAATCTGTAAACAGATCTGACTAATTAATTACTATTGTTCATTATAATAAATAAATATATGCATGTGTACTAAACATCTATGTTCTTTTACTATAATTTTTTTAATTACCTGAAGTCACCATACATACAATTATTTCCTTTAAATTAATTGTAAGTTCACTTTTGTTTAATGAATGATTTATAAAGAATACATCCCTCTTGTAATACGAAAAGCTGGTGTATAATAGGAAGTTCAGTACGCCACATAAAGAATCAAACAATTTCAAAGCCATTTTCAAGCACTGAGACAACTAAGTTAAGTAAAATGTAAATATAATATATCTGTCATATTTATGAGCATATTACACTGCTATCAAAAGTATTTTTGCTATAAGTGAGCTAAACATATGTCTAAGCCTTGTATGCATCCATTATGTCTAACATGATAACAGAAGAAGTCATGAGTAAGACTTGCAGGCCTGAGGTACAATTTCACCACTTTCCAGAATGATTGAGAATCACACCTAGCTAGCCCTACACTTTGATCCTCAGACGTCTCTACATAAGCCATTTTTCAACATCACCACCATTCAGTATATGATGTTTATTATTATTTAATTTTATTGACACAAAATTAAGGAATGAACTGACCTACCTGATACACAAACAATGGGTATTCTGGATGTGTATCTTTGGTTTGCTTGACAATATCAAGATATGAAAGTCCAGGCTTCACCATCAGCATATCACAACCTTCGGTTACATCTCGTAACTGAAAAAAACACACCAGAGACAATATGATGAAGTTTCACTTGTCTAATGCCCTACCAACAAGGCGGAGAAAGTTAAGAATGGCAAACATGACGTAATATTCCTGTAAAAATACACACACACATGCATGGTGATGACACTAACACAAAAAAAGTGCAGCAAAAATGACCATTATTGGAGACATATTCATTTATTAATTTTTTAATTAAATTTGTTTTATAGGAACACTAATGAAAATGACAACACAGAATGAATACCTGTGACTGTGTGACTGCAGATACTGGTGAGAACGCCAATTTTTTTATCATGCTTTAATTATTTGAATAATTTATGGGCTTTAAAATAATATAAGAAAAAATATATTTAATTAATTTCTGAGCCTGTCATAATGTAAATATGTTATTTATATTTAAATCTCCCAATGAGAAGCAGCATTTTAACCCAATATCATACCACTTAAATTCACTGTATTCTTATGCTAGCAGGTAAGTGTATTACTTCAGTACCCTTTAAACACTACAATTTATCATAGCAAATATCAGCAATAAACTGTTGGTTCTTTTATGTTGAATTTTTTCCGACTTGTAATAAATGTTCTCCTCTTCACTCGAGTATACATATTACAATGCTGCTCTGTTCCACCTCAACACTCACTTCACAGCTTGTTCACAGCACAGTGTTTTCTTCTCACTGACATTGACATTACAGTGCTCCATCTTCAACACACTGATTAGCCTATGTAGGTATTATATAATTCTTCTAAAACATTCTCTACTACTCCACAATTCAGGATTGTTTGGTTAACTCTGGGAAAGTTCCAGAAAATATGAGGGTCTGGTGGAGCTATGAAGACTGTGTGTACAGATCACAGATGGCTGTCACTTGAAGCTGGGAGGATGAATGATCATAAATCACACTACCTTGGGGGGGGTTTATCAGTGAGCCCACAGTAGTAAGTGCTTGCAACAGTATGTTATACATGGCCAGTGACAATTTTAACATCTTAAGATGTACCAAAGGCTTAATGAACTACTTCTAATAAAACCATTAATTTCATGCAGCAGAGCCCTTTTTGTGAATCTGATATTGCTGAGCTGGCCAGGAAATTTCCTGCCTCTTATGAAATAAAAAAGTTTACTACTCTGTTCATAACAGCCTATTTCACACCCTCACACCAAATTTCAGATCCATTAATAGGACTCCCACGTGGTCCATATCCTCCACATTATATTAAAATGTTGTATGCACTTATCATAACCTCCATGCATATTAAATATCCTGTAAATCTCATTCTCCTTCATTTAATCACCCTAATAACACCTGACAAACAGTACAAATTATGATGCTCCTCATTATGCTGTTTTCTCCATCCTATTAAGGTATTAAATTAAATAAATTTATGAAGAGATTAAAAACTTCACTTACAGCAGCTCGAGTAGCAAGTCCTTTGCTCCCAGGTGGAAGCTGATAACACTTGCGATCACTAAATAAAGGTGCAGATTTAGTGACATCTCGAAATGGACCATAGAAACCAGAAGCAAATTTGGCAGCATATGATAGTACACTGACACGGTTTCCAAGTCCAGCATCAATCAGGCATTTTTTAATTGCACCAATTCGACCATCCATCATATCTGATGGGGCCACAATATGTGCTCCTACAAAATGACACACAAGTTTTTCCAGATGAGGTACAGATGTTTATTACTATTCCTATAAAAATTAATATCTATGTTTTTAGGAAATAAGGATCTGACATTTTTCTGTGAGCTTCATATTTGTAACTATTGTTTACTCCATCATTGTGATAAAACAGCTTAAATATAACCTACATGATGACAAAATACTGCTGCCATCTTGCAACTGTCATTGTGTAGTTATTTCATTTTCCCAACAGGAACTGTCATATATTTCCAATAAAAGTGAAAACACTATTGAAACACGGTAAATTAGAGACATAACTGCACAATGATTTCTTCGCTACTTGTTATATAGATATGCTGTCTATCATTAGTAACAGCTACAGAATACTTGTTCACCTTTTTTTCAAAACTGTTTTTTTCATAATATCCTCTATTCTAAAGTGTGTACAAGACAGTCAATATTTAACAAAAGTATGTAAACTGTGTTTTATGAGATCTTTGTTTAAATATGTGAAGAGTAAAAAATAACAATTTGGAAGCCAATACTCCTAAACAAGTTTTCACCTGTATATGCAAACAGAAACTAAATCTGACCACATACTACACCCATGCCAAGTTAAGTCATGTTCAAGCACAATAAATGCATTTGTTCACACACCCTTTCAGACTTCTGAAGAATATCCAACACCTCTTATCACATTAAACTAATACATACCAGAAAAAATTAGTGAAGTTAGTACTTAACCATCATATAACAATCAGTCCCTCAAATAGCACTTTATCAGAGTCTCTCCCTCTCTTTTTTTTATTATTATTGCATATCTGTTTTGGGCCTTTAGAACAATCTTCAGTTCATGGAATAAACCTTATTTATTGCATTCTTCCACATCCATACTTTCAGATTACTTGATAAATTTGTGCTAAATGTTACATAAATTTCTTAATTAAAATTCACATATAATATTCTAAATCATTCAAGTCAGATATCTTTCATGCTGTGTTAATATAATGATGACTTAATTGCCCTTACTTGTCCATATGTTGACACTGATGTTTAATTATTTTCATACTTCGTCTCACTAATAATTTAAAACTTGAGCTAAAATTGAAGAACAACATAAGAGTGAAAATGGAGCACTTTTTATATCTTTCAGGGTTTAAATTAAAACTTAACTATAATGTGTTGTACCACTCTGGTTAAAGCCAGTCTCATAAATAAAATTTAAGTAACTGTATGACATCCACTTAAGATAATCCTAAAGAAACTAAACTAAGATGTAGGGCTTAAAAAGTAAACAATGTTGGCCTCAATGTAAAAAATCTAGTCAAAAAATTAGGTATGTAGAGGCTTTTTGAAGACTTCACAGAACATAAAAGAGATAAAGTCGGTTCACTCCTTACATTCCTAGAATAATATCCTTGCTTACAGCTATGCAAACCTTATTTATTGATTTATTGATTTTTGTTAAATTCATATTATGCTCTACCTGCACAGAAAATATGGACAAGACTGTACAATTACTGCTTAACAACACCTTCTATGTTATTTTATCTGATAATGCCAACAGCAAGTCAGCATGACTGCAGTAAACTCACACAAACATGCCCAGTAAATTACTGTATTTCAATAGTTCTGTATACACATGGTTAATAACTTGGTACTATTTGTATGTGATGACCTTGCTGATAATCATAATCTGCAACATCATTAATAAAGCATGCTTTTCTTAAATGTACAGATTAATCAAAGAACATTTCAAATATAATATAGTCATACAGTGTATTATGAATTCTTCTCGGCCTACCAGCTGTTGGTGTTTTCTCCATTAAACCACCTGACACAGCTGGAAGCCCAAGAAGAATTCATTATACTCAGTTGCTGTGAAAGTTTCAAATCCTACATACAGTGTATTATATGGAAACTTTTAATTAAAGACACTTAATAATGTACTTCACTCAGCATGGCATTCATAAAAGAGACAACTATGATTATCATTATCAAAGATTCAAAGAGTTGGGTTATTAGTTGTCTAACTGGCTCTTCAATGATCATCCTTGATTTCTTGTACCAGGTAGTATATTTCATTATTATTTTGGTTTCTCTCCCCTCAATCTATCCATTCTTTCTGCAGCCTAAAATTTCAGGAAATCTAGATTCAGTCCATAATTTATCCAAAATGTACTTTTTCCTTTTGCAGTGTTTCCATGTATATTTTGTGGTCCTTCTCATGAATTTATCCTAAGCTGCTTTGATCCTGCATTAGTCTTTGGTTTTCATTGTCCAAGTTTCACTACCATAAAGAAGAGTTCAGAATGTTAACATGTTACAGATTCTTATTCATGAATTTTCATAACTGTATGAAATAAAATTATTCATTCATATGCCAATATCAGAACTGTTGCAATAATTATTTAAATATTTCATAAAATCAATCAAGTATGCATAAGACTGATGATGAATAAATACAAAATTCTGGTTGTGAAACCTGGCAGTACAAGTCACTTGGGAGAACCAAACACAGATTAGAAGATAATCTTAAACATGTAGATTGTCATGTGGACTGAATTCATCTGACTCAGGATAGGGCCACATGGTAGGTTCTTATGAACACAGTTATGAAACTTCAGGTCATATAAAAGATTGGGATTAGTTTATCAACAAATATTCTGCCCTGTGGAATTATAATTCAAACATATACCTTAGAACTATAAGATTCATACAGAATCTAAGTCCAGGAACAAAATAAACTCAAACACTCTTCATGTTCTGGCTACACAGAGCATCATCTAGCCACTCAATGGACATTCAATTTTAATGCAAGACTTGTACACAGTTCATTCAGTCATAAATGTGCAAACCAATATGCAATGGATTATCCTTACTACAGTACATGCTCTAGTTTGCAGGTATGGCAAATTGAAACTGCATCAGTTAGTATGTAATTATTTGGGAAAGGAAGAAAAGATGGCCTTAAACATATTTTTCTTTTTCACTTTTCTCACATATTATTGGGGGTAAAATAAAAAAATACTGAAAGTACCTGATTTTGCATATGCTACTGCGACTTGTGCAATTCGTTCAATGCTAGCTTCATTGTTGATTACTCCATCCTTGCTTATAATCCCACAATGCCCATGATTTGTATATGGGCACAAACATACCTGCAGGAAGAAATATATATCACCTTCAGATGTGAGGTTCTCATGGCAGTGAACATGTTAATCTTGGTCTTCGGAGCTGTAATGCCGTGTGGACTTGTACACAGATATCAAATGTTTTGGAGAAACATACCTGAAGAAGGAGACAGTTATGTTTCCCTGAAGCATTGGTATCTACCCAAGACCTACATCAATAATATATATAACCAGGGCTGTAGAGTCGGTATTAAAACCTCCAACTCCTTAATATAAGCTCAATATGTATTAATAAGGGTAAACCTACTAAAATGGTGAATGGTACCACAAGAGATTTCACCACCACCACGTTAATCATCAGGCTACTTTTTAGACTTATAACATATATTTAAATATACGTATAATGGTTATTGCAGAAATCGGCTGATTTGTAGACAGTTTGAATTCTTAAGGTGCCGGAGCCAGAGTTACAAAGCATTATTCCCATACCATGTGGCTAAACACGTCGTTGAATTTCCCTAAGTGTGAGGCCACCGGCGGCTCACACGGTAGTGAAAGTGTTCTTAAAATCTTATATCGAGGTCGGAGTCGGTACATTTTTACCGACTCCACCTAAAATTGCTTCCAACTATGACTCCACAACTCGGACTCCATAGCCCTGTACATAACTTTGCATATATATAAGCCTCCAGAAGAACTGATGTGAAACATGCTAGAGCTATTTTATGCATACACAAACATTTGCCAAGTGCTGACATAATTAAACTGTAAAATATGCATAGTTGAGGGTAATGTTTGTAACCCACTAGTAGTGCAAGCCCTCAGAAAAAAAAATCTTCTAAGTCTATTAACCTGGCTTATAACTATTTGAGTGTCTACATGTGTTCTCTTATGCTTACTTACATCACAAGCAATTATGATATCTGGAAAACATCTTCTCAATTTAGGTAACACTTGAATTACTGGATTTCTTGGGGAGTCTGCATATGATCCTCTCTCATCCTGCATCAAACCATTAATTTTTATAATCATTCCATTACTATGCCCAGGGGCAACACTGCTCGAATTAAAATGGTAGAACCTAAATAACAATTGTTATAAATTATTTTGCTTCATACAAAATCTTATTTATTAATACCATAAGTAACAGGTACAGAAATATGTATTAGGCCTGCACAAATTTCCTAGAAATTTAGAAGCCACCACAAAATACAATGTGTGTGTGTGTATATTTGTGCAGATTATATATATATATAATCTGCACAAAATTCTAGGTGTTACCATGAAAAGTTTGGGTAACATGGCTACCTGGTGTCCTGGATTTGTGCAGGCCTGCATGGCATGTGTAAAATGCAAAAACAAAATTAAAAATTAAAAAAAACAACATATTTTAAGGGTACAGAAAGTCCCAAAAACATGTGCATGTACAAATTCAGTGAACAAAATACAGATAGTTAATAAACTAAATCATTACATATATCAGCATAGGCACTTAATAAATTATAAAATCTAGTGCAGATGTTCAGAATTATCACCATTAGCTTTGCACAGTTGACAGCAGTGAGTAACTGACTGACAAGCAGCCACTAAAGTTGCTGCTGTGTATACATCTTTATTGGACACCTGTTTTAGAGAAAGAAATCAAAAGTTTTCAAAACCTAGTATTTATGGTTAAAAGCAAATAGCATTCAGTAAAAAATATAGTTTCATGTACTTTCTTCATATTATTTTTAGTAATACCGGTAGTATACTCTGAAAGAGTGGCTGGCATCAACATAGCATTCAGACTTTTGCTTTTGTGAGCAGCACTGTCAACATGCACATAAGATAGGACTTACCACTGTTAATGGGAGGCAGTTTCTTAATACTAATTATAAGACAGGTTCTCTTAAGTTTCTATAAGCAAATTCCAAGGTAATACCTTAACAGAGGCCATACATATACTACTCACTTTCACTGAGCATTATATAACCTCCTCTGTGAGCACGTCATCACTAACAATACAAAAAGAATCCAAAAGTTTCAAATACCTCCTCTGGCAGCTCTTACTGGACTACACTTACCTATATTTAAAGTACTGCACAATACCTGTACCATATTCACCATGTACTACTGATAGTACAAGAATATTTGCAAGTAATAAAGACTTTGTAAGACAAGGCATTATGTCACAAACAGGCAAACTATAATATTCTGTACCGACAATATGAAGACAAGGAAAATATGATCAAGAATCCTCAATTACAAACAATCTGTTTATGTTTTAAAGATATGAAAGAGGTTTAATTATAAAGAAGTCATAATAATTACCAACCTTTGGAATTCCATACTCAACAGCAAATAGCAATATCGACTTCAGACCCTTGTTTACAATGGGTTTCAAACATTCCTCAATATTACTAACACCATACTGGACAATTCCGGGCATACTTTTAACTTCTATTGGTTTCTCATTATTCCTAAAGGACAGGCACACAAAAACTTAAACTCTGCTGTCACTGTATTGTTAACTACACTGGACCTTTAACTTAATGAGAGGCCTAGATACTAACCTTTACCTCTCATTAAATTAAGAGACCAGCATCATTTGGTTAAACATGCAAAAATAGGCCACAATTAGCAAATCTGATATATATCAATATTTTGCCTAGCATTTACAATGAGAAAAAATAAAATCAAGACAAGTTATAGTGAAAATGATCACACAATCACGAACTTACCCAACAAATATTGGAAACATCAAATTATGCGGCGAAATTTCAACATTGGGTGTTTGCAATTTTCGAAGTGCAGGATGGAAATATCCACTATGAAGTATATGTCTAGCTTCAGGAGATTTCGACATAATGTGTTTAAAAATTAAATAAATTCCTGTACAGTCGAAATCTCTTTTTCGCCAAATGAAAAATTCTCACACTTAGAAACCCGGACTGCAATGCTGCCAATCACCGTCTTTTTTCGCTTATAAAAAGAGTGACTTTGTACTTTCCATTAGGTTGTATCTTTCCTGTGGAGTAGCATGCGTGAATAATGCAACAGCTTATTAATCAGAAGACTGCACTAGAAGTATACTTCCACAAATACTACTGAGAATTTCTAGGTTCTATAGATAAATTTATTGAGAAACCATAGCTGGCACTACATTTGAGTACGTATGAGCGCAAGTCATCATCCAATGATGTTTCAGAAATGTTCGTGTACTTGCCCCATTACCGCGATATTTGAATTTGAAATCTGCATCAACTTATCTTTGATTATAAATAGCCTGGAATTTCAAACTGCTGCAGAACTGTAAAAGACAGCCACTGTGCATGAACATAAAAGGCAAAAATAAAATGTGGGAGCATATTCATTCAAGCTGTAACATAAATCTAGAAGAAGGCTGCCAGACATCTTTCAGATATTCAATCTATTTGGATAGATTATTTGCAGAAATTCCTCATTCTTATCTCTCAACACTTTCATCTACTCTCTCTTCTGTACATTTATTTCATTTCTCCAGTAGCTTCTCAGCTCTTTTATGGGCATTTAATTTAATTTTTACTTCTAATGCCTACTATGGAAATCCTTAACGATTTATTTCTGTGTTGTTTAACAATCCTAAATCAAATTATTAAGTTATTTAATGCCAAATGAATGAGAGGATTTTTAAGCACAGAAACAGGGGCAACCATGGATTATTTTAAGACATGCACCTCCACAGTTCACACCTGTAACCTAAGAATAAACCCGTCAAACTCAGATTGGTTATCTACTGAATATGTCAGACATATCACAATTTGGACAAATCTGCTTTGTGGTAGTATGCATATATTGCTCCATATTATAATTTCTGATTTTCAATACTCCAGAGCATTTTATTTTATATTAGGTGAAAATTTACTTCTAATATGTAGCAAAAACACAATCTTAATTGTCCTGCAAAACAGAACTTATAAGGGCAAAACTTGTATTTCATGTGCTATGTAGAAAGCATGAACACACTGTTCTATAAATAAGACATTTGTAACATTTAAATATAATTTCAACAATTTGGGGGGGAGGGGACAGAATCAACCCCTGGGGTGCTAATTATTAATAAAAATAAGCAACATGTCTTCTTTTCAATTTCCAAAATGTCTGATATTACATTTTATATTTAATGTAATGAAGTAATCTAAAACGCTTGAAATTTTTCCACTATGTGTGAATTATTAATCTGGAATGAGTTCAAACAACCTTTCTGTTCTTTCAATTGGTTACAGACAGTGGCGTGGTAATGGTGCCATCACATTCAAATTTTAAAATAGACTGTGCTAAATTTAGCTATCCATGCCTCCTGCTCACTTTTGCAGTACTGCTCAGCTTTATATATAAGGCTAAGAAGACAAACTGAAACATCTAAAATGAAACTGGAGTCTGTAGCAGAAAAAAAGTTAGATACAGAATGTGGTTTCTTAAAATGTCATCATGCAAATCTTCGTAATTCAATTAGTGATGAACAGCTACAAGAACTGTCAACACTTCAAACTGATGAAGACAGATTTTTGTTTGTCTATAAATTGCCTGTTGTTCATGAATATGAGGTAAAGGGTTCCAGTTCTGAAAAGAATGAAAGAGAAGCAGAACAACTGAAAGAAGAAGGAAACAAAGCATTCCAAAATGGAAACTACCAAAGTGCAATGCAGAGTTATACCAAGAGCATTCTGAAAACACCATGGGCTATAGATGGGGATTCTCCTAATGCAAGTAAGTTAAACAATTAGATTCACTGCCAAATTACATTTCACGTGAAATGTGTATTGTGATCATGCCATTCTAAAGAATAAACATTATAAATATTGAAGATTTGGACAAACAAATCTGAATACAAAAAGTTTGCCCCATTAGGGATACTACTATAAATGTAAAGCATAAGGATATATGTTTTATGTCAGAGACATATTTTCTCGTATAAAATACATGGATGGTAATGTGGATATTTCAGATTTGAATGTTATCTGTTTCTGCATTCTCTATTCAGTATACTTTAATTTATTTATAATTTAAAGATATAGATATATAGACACACACATATATTTAGTTACATAAGTTTTTGTCCTAGAAATATGTCCTATGAACTATGCTAAACTTAAAAATAATTAAACCATAAAGTGAAGATTAAGAAAAAGACATCCTTACAAAAGAAAGGGCTCCTGATTTTAAAATTATTCATTGTCTTGATTTCATGATACAAAAATCAGTAAAAGAAGTCTCATATACCAATTCTACACATCTGTGTGTGAATTCTTTGGTTATGAACATTTCAAACTTTATGACATGCAGACCTGCTAATTAATGTATCGAATATTTGGGAATAAAACAAAGTAAATTATTTACTTCCTCCAACTTGGAAACATAAATGATATGATATTTAAGCCTTCATACACATCTCTAATGTTTACTTTGAAATCAAGCTATTCTAAATATTGCCTGGAGCTGTTACATGATATGTGAATATCTCACAATGACAATAGTTCCGCATTAGCTCCAAAATTCCAGCACCTTGTGTTATTTATAGTTGATAGTCCCACCATATATGGTGAATCATTTGATGGTAGGTAGCCTGGATTAGTTCTTATGATGATAAGAATTAACAAACAAGTTACCAGGAACATGCAGCAATTATCTTGTCATATCTGCCACAACTATGCTTTCACATCAGAGACTAAAGTCAGGAATTTCAATTAGTTTATAACAGAGTTTCCATAAAATTTCAGATTCAACCCGGCAGCTTTCTATAACAGTGGCCAATCGTTCCGCTACATTCTACCACTTGGAGAAATATAAACTGGCAATGCAAGATATTGACCTTGTTTTGTCACTTGATTATCCACAAGAACTTCGCTACAAAGTTCTTGACAGGTAAGTATGAATAAAGTAACACACATATATAAAACATAAATATGAACAATTAATGTGTCAGTAAACCTGGATATTAATGAACAATAAACATCTCTGGTGTGTTTATTTCCTATAAATGTGAAACTTGGTTTCATCACCGAAGGGAATAATGTAAATTTAGTGTTCCACAGACCTTTAGACATCTATTTAATGCTATAAGAACATCATTGTCTTTCAGAGCCTAAATAATAAAAATTTCTCACTCGTTCAAGAATTTTATTATTTGAAAAATTTTTGTTCTTAGAAACTGTTTATGTGATTGCGTTTATTTTTGAAGATGAATGTCTTCTGATTTGTTGCACCATGCAGTCTGGTAGTTTACCGATGTTTCAGAAACACTGATAAATTTCTACCAGACTAAATAGCATATCAACCTAGAATAAAGTCATCTTCATACTTGTCACCACGATAACTTTAAATCTTACCTACCATTTATATTTTCGAGGTGGACATTTCCATATTGTATTATTTCATTATACTTTGTAATTTATTTCTTCTGTACAGGCAATAAAAATCTGATCATCAGCAAATAGAAAGGTATTGATACGAATACCATTTATAAACAGTTCTACATCATTCAGCCTTTAATAAAGTCACAGAAATTGACCACTTAAAAACAAACTGCTAAAAGGAATATTTAGAATGAAGAGAGGTAGAATAACAGGCCAATGGAGAAAAATATGTAATGAGAAGTTTTACATACCATACTGTGTGTTCAAATCATGAAAGTAAAGACAAATGAGAGATTTAGCACAACTGAGGAACAAATTAAGTATACAGATTTTCATAGTAGTGAAGATGTCACTGTTGGTCTTCTGGGTAGTAACACCATGTGAACTTGTAGATGGACACCAACATTTCAGTTGATCATACTGTTTTCATCTTCAGAGCTAAATTTATGTAATATGAGTCCTTACAGGCATGTTACTTGATAACTGTAAGCATTACATGTAGTTTTTTGATTGTTGCTCATCACCCTGATAATGGAGGCAGCAAATACTTCTGAAACACTGGTAAACTTCTACTAGACTACATGGTGCTAAAATCCAGAAGACAGCCATATTCATACTCACCTCAAATTCAACTATACCAGATCTTTTTCATATTCCCTGGTACAACCAAAAAAGAAAACCAGGAGTTTCAACATATTTTTGCACTAATTTTCTTGTTTACAACTGAACTTACTATATTAAAATATTCAAGCAATATAAAATGATAATTCGGTGTTACATGACTGTTAGTAATGTATTATAAACTATGCTTTTATGCCAGGAAAGCTCGATGTCTTCTAGCAACAAAACAGCTGAAAGATGCACTTGAAGCATTCAGGGGTACCCTTAAAGCACTGGACTCAGCCAAGTTACCAGTGGAAAGGAAACGAAAATGGCAAATGGATGTGCAAATCATGCTTGCAATGCTAGCCAAGAACAAGGTCCTTGTTAATGGTACTGAAAGTCTTATATGTATAATATATTTTCTACTGAAAAGCCTGGTAAGGAGTAATTAACCTTTATCATTTGTGCAACACTGTTTATATAGTATCCAGCTGGCTGTGTGATTTTGTAGCATCCTGTTTAACTGTTAAGCCCAGAGTTAAAGCTTGGCCAGCAGCCTCATACTACAGGGGTTTAAATCCACTACTTCCATACAATAAAGGTTAAACATTTTATGCATAAGGCATAAATTACTATATGCAAAAATAAATTTCAGTATTATGGATGTAACATATATATTAGTATGCTACCAGAAAAATGTCAGTACACTAGTTAGAGCCTGAATAACTGTGTAGCAGTTTATTTTTCTGAGACACAGCCTGGAGGTTTTCATTAGAAAGATTTTTCTAAGTTATTGTGAAAGGAGTAAGTACCACAGAAACAGTAATAGAAGTTAACCCTATGGTTTTACCTTCCCAAGTTCATACAATGTTAAATAATAATCACCATACTGGTATCTGAATAGCCTTCATATCACTCAAACCCCTTATACATAATACCATTTTATATAAAAAATTACTGCCAAATTTTTCATGTTCTATCACACACAAAAAAATTATATTCTGTTACAGAGATTTTAATGAAACACAATTATTGGGATTCTTTAGTTATAATTTTGAATGTTTGCCAGTTGGGACTGTCATTTCATTTTATGGGGAAAATGATCATTTTATGAGGAAAATTACCACTACATGTCAATGTTGGCACTTAGAAGAATGTGTAGCTGCTACTCATTCTCAACCTTGGCACTAGAAGGGGGTAAGTGGTCAGCAGCACACCCTGGCTGCACTTTACCTCCATGAAAGGACCCCAGTACCCATTGGACAGGAGCCTGGGTAAGCTCCAGAGCTGGTCTGGACACAGTGGCTAGAAGAAAATCCTCTGCCTCCATTGGGGATTGAACCCCAATTGAGCTACCTTGCTCACATTTATTTTGACTTATTAAATGAATAATATAAAATTTATTTCTTTTATACTTCAATCAGAGCCTAGGATACTTCCAGAGGATGCAATTTTACCGTCTGTGACTGGACAGCAGAATTCACGTTATGTGTCAGCAAGTTCTGCAGTAAATATCGAAGAGACCAAAGACACAGGACGATTTGCAGTGGCGGGGAAAGATGTGAAAGTAGGGGACACACTAGTGGTTGAACCAGCATTTGTTGCAGTCCTGTTAGCTGAACATGCTGGCACACACTGCTTCCACTGCTTCAGAGGGTATTGTAGATATTGAAAATGCATGCCTAAATAAGTTTTCCTAGCTTTAATCCATAATCTTATATATATGGAAAATTACCAGAAACCTTGTAAAGAATGTAGCTGAAGACTGAAATAGCTCACACGCTAATCTGATAAACCAGTTATAACTTGTTACAGCTGCACTCCCTCTAATACAAAAATTCAAAACTGCAATCTGAAGATTCTACAGAAACAATAAAATCAGGAACAGTAATGTGGGGTATGCTTTTTCGACACAAAATTCTAATTTAAAAAAATGTATTAATTTGTACCAAATTTTGGATGAAAAACCTGAAAGAAAGGAGCACTTGGGAAATTAAGATAGAACACAAGAAAGTAGGTTGTAAATGTACTGACTAAGTTTTATAGATTCAGGATAGGGTCCAGAGAACTTGGTAATAAACCCTTGGGTTCTGCAAAATATGGGTAATTTCTGGATTAGCTGAGTAACCATCAACTTCTCAAGAGGGATTTGCTTCATGAAGGAAGTTGTCAGTTCAGGCTAAAAACTACTAGATAATTTTTTTCTAGTGCTTGAAAACAAGTTGTACTACTGGTACTCTGAATTTTTACAGTTTCTTCTGTTCTACTTTTTTATTTACAAATGAAAATTCATCATGATGTCATGCTTACTGATATTGTCTGAGGTTCTGATTTCTGTGTGATGTTAGGTTGGAAGCTGCTGTCCCATGCAATCAATGCAGCAGAGTGGCATTCTGCAGTGTTGCATGCCAGACAGAGGCCCTTAAAACTCATCATGTGGTTGAGTGTCCTATACTTGAAACCCTCTGGTCCTCAGGAGCCTCCATTATATGCCTCATGGCTCTACGAATGTTATCGCAGCGGGGAATAAAGTATTTCCTTGACATGAAAGGCATTTTGAGAAAGGTATGAGCATAATGATGTACTTTAAATATCATCAAAAACATGAAGGTCTGAAATGGTAACTTAGGATTACAACTGAGAAATTTTCAAGTCATAGTAGCACAGGCAGTAAAATTACTAAATATGGTTACATGACTGTGAAATGTACCAGATTTGTTAATATTGATTTATATTGTGTTTAGAGGCCACAGAATGGCATATGAAGGTCATAAATAGTTGTCTGGAGCAGTCCTCCTTGAGAAAATTACAGTAGTACACATTCAACTTTCTAAACTTTCTGCTCAATATTATCCTCCAACTACATCTAGGTACCTCAAACAGACTCTTCCCTTCATATTTTCCAACCAAAATTTTGTATGCATTTCTCATTATGCCCATGAAGCTGCATGCCCTACCCATCTAATAACTGGTTATAAAACACATGCAGATTTCTTTTACCAGCATCCCTCATTTAAACAAGTACAATGAACCTTTCTCAAAACATTTCTGTGTGAACCAAAACTGATATAGTACAGTGACACAGATATTCAGTTTCAGAATGAAAGGATTTCCCATGGTCTACTGATCTTCAGCCAAAAATGTTTAAATCCTCATAAAAATGGTACTGTTTTCCTAACAAAATATGCTACAATGCTGAATATTAGTTAGGAAACGTAAATGTTAAACTGCACTAAATTAAAATTCACAGAACTATGTAATAACACAACTGTATACAATGATGTAGTGACATACAAGTTGTCTGGGTGGCTGAGGATTCCCCAGTAACCATGACAACCAAGTAACTATAGTAATGAAAATAATGATGGTAACTGGGGGATTCCCCATCCAGTCTCTTCCACAGAAAGGAACACATGTAAGTCTTCATAAAATTCTGTAATATCAAATTTCACTACAATATGTTGAGCCATTTTTGAGCTGTTATGTGTGGACAGAAAAAGCGCAAACGCTTACAGGTGCTCATCTGCAACTTTTAGTTGTGAATGTGCCTAAAATAAAACGGTAAGTTCAAACAGAGCTGATCATTGACCATTTTAAAATACACTGTGAATTACAAACAATAAAAAATAAAATACATAAGTCACTAGCATCTGGGGCAAATATTTACAACTGATGGTCTTCTTCTAGGGCTGTAATGTTGTAAACAGTTCTGAGAAATATCACCCTACAGACTACAGAACAGTCTACAATCTTGTGGACCATTCAGGAACACGAACAGCGCAAGATTTCTTATATAGAACAGATACAGCTGTTTTACTATTCAAATGTCTCAGAGTGGCAGGGTTTTTCAACATACAATCCAAAGAATCAGGTATGTCTGTGCACAAATATACATATTAAAATAATGACAACTTTCCTTGACATCAAAATGGTATTATCATCAATTTTAGCATTCAATTTTCATATAAAGACCATACTATGCTTGTGTGAATAAAGAACAGTTGGATTTCAAAGGGTGAAATTTAAATTCAATGGGCCTGGTAGATATGATACTTGCTTTGAGATCTCTGATCAGAACTGCCCAGAAATAATACTAGCGTATCCGAACAGGCATGGTTCAATACTGATCGAGTGTAGACACGTTGATGTGTCTGGAGGTGTCTAGAAGTACTAGCGTATCCGAACAGGCATGGTTCAATACTGATCGAGTGTAGACACGTTGATGTGTCTGGAGGTGTCTAGAAGTACTAGCGTATCCGAACAGGCATGGTTCAATACTGATCGAGTGTAGACACGTTGATGTGTCTGGAGGTGTCTAGAAGTACTAGCGTATCCGAACAGGCATGGTTCAATACTGATCAGTATTGAACTTGTAAATTTTAAATATAATTGTGATTAGACGGACAAAACCGAATAATTAATTTAATATTTGATTCACAATATGACGCAATTATACTATCTTATAAATTCATCTGGTTTTTGTTACGTGATTCCAAATTTTTTGAATACTGATTGCAACTTTCAGACCTCCCCACTTTGTTAGATTACATTCCTTCCTTATGTTAAATAAATCTGCAAAATGGGATGTAGCTAGCATTTGGAAATGATTCTAACTCACTTCCATTCACCTGCTGTCCTAAAATCCATCTCCACTGTAGCCTCCTAGAGGTAACTATAACTCCTCTTAACACAAGCATTTAAAGTATAAACAACTGTAAAAATCCTGAAAATAGTACTGTTATAAATACATTACTAAACACCCTAAATCTGAAATTTAACCAATGCAAATATTTCAGAACACAAGCTAACACCTGAAGAATTGTTTGTGGGAGAATTACTGCTACATCACCTCCAGCTATTACAATTCAATGCTCATGAGATTTCTGAACTACAGCTGGAAGCACCAAGGAATCTTAATTCAGCTCGTTCTGTATTCCTAGGCGGAGGACTGTTTCCAACCCTAGCTCTGTTCAACCACTCATGCGACCCAGGAATAACAAGGTAATAGCTTAAACATAATCAACTTTGGCAAACAATCTCAATTAGTAATGTGTCAGATAATTCTATATAAATTAAGTAAATATCCAACTGAACACACTCATAATGAAATGCTTATGTTTTTTCGCAGAACTGAAAACATCCACCCAAAGTCAATCATTCTTGGATTTCAACCGTACATATAATGATCAGAACTACTTAAAATCACTAATTGTTACTTCTTACTATATTAACATATTGATGTTACTTTCTGCAACTGTCCGCACATTTCCTTTTTTGTCTGAATAACAACGTTCGTTCCGTTATTTTCTAGTCCCATGACATATAAATCCAAGGTTACTAGTACATTAACATGACTAACCAGATCTCTGTGTTCAACGTATATACCTACAGTGCACATTCAATTTCTTTCAAAGGTTCTATAAAAACAGAATGACAGTACTTAAACCTTTACTGCTAACATGTCATGGCTTACATGATTCAGATGACCAAGCACTGCATTAACACACTGTTCAACAATTAACCATGGAGTTATATCTGGCCAGCAGTTCTGTAGTACTGGTAATAAAATCCCATATTTCAACACAATAAAGGTCGAGCATGCATTCTTGCTCATTTTAGCATATTTATGCAATAAACACAAACTAAATGAACAAGGACTTCCCTCTGTATGTGAGTAAGCATTAATTACATTCATGCAGATGTGCAGTATATTTATTTTGCAGATATTTCCAAGGAACTTCAGTTATAGTTCATGCCATTAAAAACATACACTGTGGAGAGATGATTGCTGAAAACTATGGGCAGATATTCACCCAGACTCCTCAAACAGAGAGGCAAGCAACTTTGAAGTCACAATATCGATTTGATTGCATATGTGTTCCTTGCAATGAAGATTGGCCCACATTCAACAACATGCACCAGGGATTTATGAGATTTCGATGTGAAACAGGCTCAGGTGGTACAGTACCAAAATGCAACAATGTGATTATTGTACCAACAGATACTTCAGACTTCATGATCCAGTGTCCTCTCTGCAAACAATACACAAATATACTTAAAGGACTGAAAGTACTGCAGGTAAATGTATTCTCCAAACAAAGATACAACAAAGGAAGGCACAGAAAATTATTTGACTGATGAGATATTTGTATGATCTGAAGCTTTCATGGTGACAAAGTATAAGGAATTCTTGGGCCACCAGCTGTGTCAGGTGGTTAAAAGGCAAAAACTCCAGCCAGAATTCATTGATAAGAAATTGTCTCTAGTTAGCAGAAAATACAGTCAAAAAGTACAGTGACAGACTGTTGTAGGTTTCAGCATGAAGGAAAGGGCCTGCAGCTCTCAGATGTGTGAACTATTCTGTTCAAATTAAAATCTCAAATCTTGCAATGAGCTGTATCAATTAAAATGTAACTTTATACCTATAAGTTGCTGCACAATGGATTATGAAATTCATGAAATGAGCACAGTATTTCCTTCAACCAAAATCAAAAACTTTTAAACAAATTTATAATTAAAATTCAACATTTTTTCTCTGCCTTTTCACAGGATACAGATGCAATGTTCAAAACTGCAACACGACTGATGGAAGAGGGTGAAGTGAGACAAGCCCTGGATAAATACATCGAGATCTTGCTTCTTCTTGATAATACACTGGCTCCACCATTCAAAGATTTCCACTTGTGCCAGCAAGCTATCCGTCGCTGCATGCTCAGTTTTGGTAATAAATCAGTTATGTCAGAGAAAGTCACAAAGTGAATAATGTTAAAGATAAATGATCAAAATCGTTGATGTTTTTTGAATATTCTCCAAACTATGAAAAGAAAATTCCTTAATATTTTAAGATGAGAAAAGTATTAAATATTTTGTGATTAGTCACTGCAAAATAATTAATGATTATATTTCATCTTATCAAGAGCTGTTTACTAAAAGCAATGGTTGAAAAGAAACAATCAGCACAAGTCTACCTGCTGTGCAGTTAAATCTAGGTTTATATCTGTAATGTTATATTACAAAATAAATTGCATACTAATGTCAACAGCCAAATAAAGATTATGCACTATGGTAAACAGGCACACATTTTCATTCAGCCCAGGATCTTTACCTACGGAATAGATGCAGACTTCTTTCTAGAGCCATTGTCAGGGAGTTGCTCACACTGGATCATAACCAGCATACAGTCAAAGCTTCTGGAACGAAACTGCAGCATAAAGACAGAAATCCTGACTTAGGTCACTTTTCTAAAACAGAGTTCTTGTTAACCTGCTAATCCAGTTGTTTCTGTTACAGAATTCTATGCAATAGCAGGGAATTTAAATACCAATATTTATCCAACTATAAGACTGCCTCAGATACACATTCCTTCTTTTACCGAGGAAAATTTTAAACAAAAATTACTTGTCCGGATAAAATTCTTAGGTATAATTTGTCAGCACACATAAAACCTTTTGACATAAATACGTCTATAAGGAAGGGTCATTCAGCAAAAAAGTGTAACAATGGGAACGTTGTCTGTTTACTCGGCATTATTGTTACCTACGAAATGTCGTCTCTTTACTTGGCATTTTTGTTACCTAGGAAACATCATCTGTTTACTCGGCATTGTTGTTACCTATAAAACATTTCATTACATTACATTACCCTACCTTACCTTATATTACATTCAGCTACCACAGACCCATCTTAAGCGTAACTAATTAAAGTTAAATAAGCGATGTCTTAATAAAATTTATCTCAAATGTAAAGCATGTATGAAGGAAATATTTAGAATAAAGCCAATATATAAACTTCCTTTCCGTATAGACGTATTTACGTCAAATTCTCCGGAACCATGGTTCCACTGACAACTTTTTTTAATATGCCATCATAATGGATGACTTTAGACCTAAATGATGCCTTTTTGGCAAAACTGGTCCCCACTGTCCTATGCCTTTCCTCCAGCATTACACATTGGCCTCAGAATCACTGTATTTCATAAGCTGCCATGCAATGTACCAGTCTTTTTAATGTACCTGATAATGATTTTATTTAAAATTAGCATAATATGCAATTAACAAGAATAAACCAATCTGTGCTGCAACAGTGTCTTTAGCTTTCATTTTCCATGATCACATAATGTGATTAATGTTTAAATTTTAACAGTTACTGTAAACACAATACAAATTCAACTATTAAAATCTGTGAACCAATACGCACCACCAGTTGCATTTCAGAATATGTTTTAGGAAGATACATATTCATCAACTCTTCTGAATGATTACATAGTTGATCACTGTGATATGGTTTCAAAATGTTGCCTTAAGTTCTGTTCTTCTACTAGCTGAAGGATGGGATTTCTTTCAAAGATGCAAAAGTTCATAAACTCTCCTTTGATGTCTGAAGATTACCACTGGATTAGAAATGTTGTCTCAAGCTGTATTTATTACTGAAAAGTACAACTTGAATGCTTACATCCTGCTGGAATATCACAATTGTGATTCAACCTCTCATGCTAAACAAAACAACACTTCTCAGCCAACCACTCTTGAACTCTTCTGGCCTCCAGTTTTTACATTATAACAAAGGTGGAGCAATTATTTTGTCCAAAAATAATTTAGGTGTGTGGTTTTGTAACACAGTAATTTTGATTTCCCTGGTCACTTGTTCCACTTAAAAAAGAGAGAGAGAGAGAGAAACCTGTAATTTCGATGGTGAGAGGCAAGCAGAAGGGAGACTACAACACAAAGGAAACTACATGACAATAGTAACTCCAGTAGTCATAAACACTTTAAATACAAAGTTAGGCAAAGCCAATTTCTACCACATAATTAGATCCATCCAACAGTCCACATCCTTTCCAATTCATTATTCACTATTCCTCTCATTCAACATCTAAGCCACTGAAAAAAAAGCATCATTAAATAAACTATAAATAAATAAAACAGCCAACTAGGAGTGGGAGTACAGGAGGAAGTGACACTGCAGTGTAATAATGTTAAACACAATAGAATGAAGGGGAAGCAATTGTGCAATGGATAAAAAGACCATTTATTTCCTCATAAACAAGACGGGGCAATTTCAAATGATTCTTATGCAGTACGTATAATTTTCAAAAATATGTCTTCTCTTCACTTATTTTAAAATAATCAATAATCCAACACACCTGAAACCAATTTTGACTGCTTTTAAAAGCACATCATGTATTAATCTTCTACTTTTAAAAGTATCTCTCAGTCAAACATTGTTGCAAATGTCTCATAAACAGCACATAAAATATAGTCCTTCACAAACAGTCAGCTTTACATATCCCAACACATTCAGTTTCCAATTAACCAAAGGACTATACCAATTGTTCACATCTATTAAATGATCTGTCAGTGATATTTAAACTTTTTGTAACTAAATATGCCATTGGATGTATTCTGTCATATTCATTTTATATTACACTTACCCCAATGGATGCCATTTACAAATATCATGGACATAAAAATGTGCAGGATACAACCACCCTAAAAAAGCACCATGATTCCATGAAATGCTGGAAACACTTTCTACTACAAGAGATCAGATAAAAAACAACGTTTAACTCAGATCTTTTAAAAGGAATTCTCTACTTACTATAACTCCTCTCAAGTTTCACTGTGATGTATAATGAACCTTTTAGTTCAAATTCAGTTCAAAGAATGTCAGCAACTTTCTCCATCACTACTTTAATCACTGCTGAAACAGCATCACTAATGTAGAGAGCTGAAATAAAATGTGTACATACTCAGATCAATTTTAAGAAATTGTCTTGGTTGACACAGGTGTAAAAAATGTACATTTTTAACTTACAATATGCAGAGAGAGAGAGAAGCTAGTCCTATACTTCAAGCTGCATTAGCGCACTGACACCACTGGATATCAATTAATACCTGAGAATATGCACTCTCAGAGGTCATGTGTGATAAGTGATATGCATCTAAGGCAGACATAAACAGATTCATTCACTACATTAGATGACTTGTGGGCTAACCATTATGGTCCTGTGACAAAGGAATAAAGTAATATGTATAAAACTACTCTTTTCAAATCCCCACTGAATGGACATATTATGTAACCTTACTATAACATTTTCAGTGGATACAGCAAGGACATAAATGCATGAAAAACACAACTTACATTTCTCATACTGAAATATATTGTGTGCCAGCAAAGTATCAAGATATACCACAACAACCGTCGGTCCATATCCACCAACCTGGAATTTTGGGCTGTTGCAAGATGATATGCATGAAAAAGCGATGTTCTGAAACAGGCTGCTGGTAAGCTACAGGTGAGATTTTAATAAATGTCTTTCAGTCATACAGTCCTATCCAAGTTATGATATGAGTGGTGTACAGTATCACAATGTGAAGTTTGTGGCCATCACTGTTGCAGGTCAGTGTCAATAAATTACACTGCCAGATTGCTGTGTATATGTTCATCACTTCAATTTCTTTTTCCATTGTTTATTTTAATACACATGAATTACATTTCACTGTAAAGAATGTGTGAGACATTCAACCAGAGCATTCATTCTTGGCTCCCATATAGCACTACTCAAATCCTTGAGCTTCCTTAACCTCCCAGGTTTCCAATTAGTAATAAATAACACAAATTTATATAAATAAGAAGTTGATTCATTGTAATAAAATTTATATATATTGCACATAAACCCAGTTACAGCAGAATCATGATTAAAAATAATATAGTCACTTTCATGCAATGAAGACTGTACAGTAAGAACTCCAATTTTTGTACTTGTTAGAACATGACAGTATTCAAGTTTTCTTTCAATCTGAGCATAAAATGGTTCTATACATTAAAAGAACACCTACATATTGTGTTTTTATAGTACAGCAAAAAAACCTGGACATCTGCCTGTACAATTGGCATTAGGTTTCGACTGCTTATGGAACAGCATCAGACAGATATAAGAAGGCTTATTGCCATCCCCCACCCACTACCACAAATAAAATTAAACGAATATATAATTCTATTACAAGAGAATAAAGGTTATAATAAAATGCAGCTGTTCTTTGTTTTGAACACAATCACATTTAACAAGATGCACTGCTCCCTGCAAACTTAAATCAGGATTCCACTGTAATGTTCCTATCTCAAACATTAAGGATCTAGTAATATTATTTTTAGCAATTTTGTAACACATAATTTATTATAAACAAAAATATGTAAATAGCCCATATTCTAGCCAATAGTGATTCATGTTCAATTTATGCAAATAAAATCAAAGTACCTATCTCCACCTCTTGTTACAATAATTTTTTCCTACGCTGCTTAACTTTAATTCACAATATCCACCACCAAACTACAAATATGAACCTTCCATGCAACAGCTTTAGTCCGTAACTAGAATGCAGAGTATAGAAGAACCCTAAATTCATTACCCATTCACGCTTCTTTTAAACCTGGGGCAAGTATAAAGTTGTTCAGTCTTGTTACAAAATATACACCAGTTGAATAAAACACAACAAAAACTACTTTTATTAAAGCACTCAATAAGAAGAAATATCACACCATGAAGATGATAGGCTGGGAAAAAACTGTGATCAGTAACATTTTATAATCAAAGTAGCACAACCTTCATATAAGAAATAAGAACAAATGGCCACTCCCAGTTACTTTAACTTTAAAAGTGTATAATTTGTAGCTTCTGAAGAACGTTTAAAACAGCATAATGAACAAAAATCACAGTAAATTAATATGCCAGGTAAAATGATTTATTGACTGATGGTGTTCAATGTGGAACAAATCTGTTTGTAGAACATTTCATACCAACTTGTCAGACCTGGTTTAAAGTTTAAAACATATCTCAACTGTTTTATATTTTAAATTAGGAAAATTTATATATCAAATAAAATTTGTACAGATTAATCAAAATAAAATGAACATAGATTTTACAAGTACAATGAAATTACACCAATTTACAGTTAAAAACCAACTAAAATTGAGCTAAAATTGGGTTCACATTTTTGTCCACTGTGTCTGTAACAGTTATCAGCACATTCCATAGAAGAAAACATTCCTGAGTACTAACACACTAAGAAATGCTTTATATTGGAGATCCTGCAAGCACTGCAATAATTACCAGCTCGATAAAAATATACAGACTGAAGTCAATTACCATTTTTACAGCCATTTAGTTCATCAACCAGTCATAATATAAATAACAATCAATCAGAGCCCTAATTTCAATATTTCCTTAATTCACAGCAGGAACAATCTTGCAAAGAACTCCTGCCACATTTCCATTATTGTGTTGCTAATTATGACTTTGCTGAGAATGATGATCATTATTTCTTGTCTGATTCATAAGACTTGGTCAAAGATACTTTCATTAAATGTTTTTTGTTACTTTCTCACTTGGCTTGAAACAAAGTTCCTGTATTGATTACAATTTACCACTTCTTCTTATGTTCATCCATAGAAACACCACCTGGACCAAGTGATACAATCATCAAAAGACCACCAATCACAGAGAGCGTCTGTAAGAAATGCAACAAAATTTATGTCATTTTTGGTTAATTTTTTTAACAGAATATATATATATATATATGATTGATGTTGGTCTTCTTGACAGTAACATACTGTGTTTTTGTTTTTGCGATGGGGAAGCGAAAATTAGTGGGATTAACTTTAGAAAATGTTATTGAGGCTGGGGTGTAATGTGCAATGCATGGGAGTGGGCTTCAAAAGATTATTATTAATACCATTGTCATTAATTCTTAATTTAAGTAAGGCTACAGCAGTTAGTGTATGTAAGTAAATAGACTATATTGTCATTAGACCACAATCTGATTTTTCTTTCCCTCTATCTTGGACACCTCTGTAAGTTGGACACATTTTCCTGGAACCCCAAGTGTCCAACTTAGAGAGGTTTTACTGTATATATATGATTGATGTTGGTCTTCTTGACAGTAACATACTGTGGACTTGTAGGTACATACCAACTTAAGATGGAGGCAGTTATGTTCCTCCAAAACATCGGTATCTACCTGAAAGTCCAAACAGCAATACTATACAGAAGACTAACACTGAGAGAATAGAGCCTGGAAATAATTTTTAAATATCACAACATAAACTGTCCTAAAACATGTAAACTGCTGTAACCATTCAATTCTATAGTGTAGCATCCTGGTGTGCTCACTATTATTTGTTCTGCACCCGTTTTACTGTTGGTATTTTCTGAGCAACATGTTTCAATTAGAGTCCTATCACCACCAGGTTCATCACACTTCCTTGCACACAAGTCTTAGTACAACCATGCAAATATCCATGATGATGATAAAAAAATTAACGTTTTTGGTTGAAATAAAATGTCCAGTATGGAGTGGAGACACATATTCACCTCCACAAAAATAATTCAAATCACTTGCATGAGCAAACAACATGATAGCCACTGCACTGTGAGATTCTGAAGGTGTTATTCTTGTGGATTTAACAAAGCTAGGCCATACAATTAATGTTGATAAGTACAGTCATCTCTGAAAGCAGTGAGCAGGTCTTTCATCCAAAGGTATATGTTTTCTGAATGACAATTTTCACCCACATATGGTTAATCTGGATGTAAACACACTGACTGAAATGAGATGGAATGTTCTTCATTCCTGGTTTGTCACCTATCTGTTATTTTCATCTCTTTATGACACAAAAGATGCACTCATGAGGCAAAAAGTTAAAGTCAAATGATGAAGTGAAAAATGCAGCCTACAAGCGGTGTTGACATAAGCAGAAAGACTTCTTCAAAAATGGAATACAAAAACTTCCAAAATACAGAGACAAGTATATTATGAAGAAGCTTTAGTACCTCAGATGTGGCTGTGACATTTTATTTGCTGTATTAATTGAAAAGATATGTGAACAAGGTTCAAGTGAAACTTCAAGGTGCACTGCATGGGAATTGTGCAATGGTTCAGAAAATGTAAATATTTTTGGTCCAGTCAGTTTAATATATTTTCTAAAATACACACATATTATAACTTACCATAAATCACATAAGATTAAAAATGGATAAGCACTTCCTACACCACAATACACAAATTCTGTCAACACTTTGTTCACACCCTTAAAATCTCCTCCTGCCAATCCTTACTCTAAGCCATAAAATTAACATACACATTGTTACAATATAAAATGTGGTGTCACTCACCTGGAAGAAATCATATTTCAGGAAATCCCTGAGAGGTTTATATGACGGAATGTTCCACCAGGCATTGTGATAGAAGTTAAGTCCTCCAAGCAGACAAACTAGGATCAAAGCACTGAGCTTGGTTTTGTAGCCAATGGTTACCAGTACCATTAACACTGAACCCAATACATCTTGGGCTGCCTAAAAGGAAAGAAATGCACCTTTGTAGACATCAGTTATGCAATTCTTATTCTCTGGTTCCCACACCTAACCTGTTTTTGAGAATACACTTCAATGATTAAAGATGTTATGTTCTGGCAAACACTGCAGTGCCATCTTCAGGGTGAGTGTCCAGGAAAGGTTAAAAGTGTATTTAAAAATGTCTAGCAGGGGGAGTTAGGTAGGACTTGAATAATATACGTACATCGGCAAGCAGAGGAGCAGGATACTATACAATGGAGAACAAAGATGGAAATTTTTACAAACATTTTGCTTCTTTTATGGTAAACTAAATGGTGATAGCTTCATCATCTGAAACTTTAAAATTGATAATTATTTATATTGGTGAACATAGAGCATGATATATATTTAACCAAAGTTCTAGAAGTTCACAAACTTTGTGCAAACGGACAATGAACCTGAGCAGAAACTTGGTCACAGAGTTTCTTTAGAAATGCATTCAATTCCTGACCGAATGGCAAAGTTCAGATAATCCATTTCGTACAGATGTTTCTGAAACATCCTGTCCTTCAAGCAACCCCACAGAAAAAAGTCACAGAAATTTAGGTCTGGTGCATTTGGTGGCTAAATTTTCTTCATTATTGCTCTGCACTCATGGAAATTACATTCATGGCAGATACTTTTGTAGTACTCTTTCAAACCCCTACTTGTTGTGAAAAACGTCTAATGTTTTTACTCAGATTTCTTGTTACAGGTTTCTTTGTTATACTGGTAAATTCTTCCATAAAGACATACTCGTATATGCTAAACGCATATCTCTTTGCACATTTATCACACACATACTTCCAGTTCCTTTGAACTGTCCAACAAGCTGCTAATGCTTATAGTTGATGTAACTTGAACAAAAAACTGCAACACAACAAACACTATAAGAATAAGCTGTTCTGAGAAAATAAAGTTTCTGATTTGTCACACATACCATCTTTACAACGATTTCAGCGCCGCTGGCAGCTTACCTCACCCCTTAAAAACAATGTGTACTGGGTAAGGAATTTGAAAATTTAATTCTATTACATTCATTAATACTACAAAACACACACATTTTATGTGAGGGGAGGGGTTAAAAGATGACAACAAAGTTCAAAGAATTTTTGAACCATCATGCTCTTATGACACGACTATAAATTTCAAAATCTTCTACACATTATAAAAATTTGTAAGTAGAATTTCTTAATCATATACTTGCCTGCAAAAAGGAAAATTCGAAACGCAACAGAGTAATGAACATGAAGGCCAAAAGAACTCTTCCAGTCAGCTGCAAGTAATTCTTGGGTTTATTATCACCTGCAATAAATTTATACCTGTTTAAAAAGAAAATAGTAATAACCTTTGGATAGTTATTGAATCCTACAGACTATGCAAAACATAACCAAAAATGTTCTAACACCTTTCACTAAATAAAATGAGGAACAAAGTTATCCTCAATGACAATAAAATCTAAACAGAAAATGATCCATTCCCATTATATCTTCTTCTAACCTAATTCTGACATGCTCACAACTGAGGCAAATTGTAACTTTTCATTATTCTATGCAGACACACAATATGCCAAACTTCGCATGAAAACAATTTCATCATATAAAATTCAACATACCTAATGAAGGAACACCAGCAAATAAACTCTTCCCTTCAACTCTACTTTCTGCAAGAACCAAGAGTAATGCACCAATAAGCGCCAAATTACGGAAAAGAAACTGAACATCCCATAGAATGCTGTATGCAAAGGTCTGAAAGAAAGATGTTAACATTAGATACAAAATGAAACAAGATAAACTAATGTTTGACCAACTCAATGCTGCAGTCATGCTTAAGAAGCTGATAGTCACTTAACAGGTCAAAAAAAAAACCCACATTACCATGTTCACAAGAACCTGCAGCATGCAACATTCCATAACATAACAGTTTAACTTTCATTATGAAGAACTGTTGGCCACTGCCTGATCCCTAAGCTGGAAGTTCACCCTATGTAAGCTATCCACAATTTATTTTTTAACATATCTGGAGCTATTCACCATGTACAAAGGTAGTCTTCTCGACCATGACCTGAAGATACACCATGCTGTGGGTGACGAGCCTGATATTTAAATAAATGGTCTGTGGTTACTGTACAATATTCTAGATGGATATGCACACATAATATGATCTTTAAATCAAGCACACTCCTCCAGTTACTACCAAAATTACACATATTAAAGTCAAGCAATAAAAAATACATGCAAAGCAGCAAATTGCTGTGAAGTGTTCACAAAAACTGTTTCCATCCAATACTGTACTTAAGACTTGTTTTCTGGTAGAAATACCACAATACTTTGGAGAACCTTCCTTTGAAGTTGAGAGAATAATTATTTCTTCTGTTATGATAGAACTTGTGATGTTTATTCAGCAAGTATACACCTTTATAACTATCCCATTTTTTATTATAACTGCACTGAGCACATTAAAGCAAAACAAACTAATTTAGATAACATTTTGTTATAAATTTAATTTCGAACTTCTAGAAACAATTCACGCACTGCATCAGATGGGACTGGTATAATAAAAATAATGTAATCATGAGGTGAATTCTTACTAACTGGAGATCAATAGTGATTCCATTATTTATGTTTACACAGAACCTTCAGTAGCAGTCATAATTACTGCTGGCAATTATCTAGCAATACTGGTTCTGTTCTACAAAAGTGAAACAATTAATTCACCAGCATATATTAGTACATGATTTTTATTTCTTCATTTACAGATCACATCTCAACTGCAAGGGTTAAAGTATAGCTTCCAATATTGTCTTAATACAATAAAAACTCACCTGCAGAACAACAATGAAGAATAACACTCCGCAAGCAATTGTAACTCGAAACCTGCCTATAACCATAACACACCCGCCAAGCTGTCCAATCAAATTAACCAATACAAAAACTGTGGCCAGAAACTTGCCGCATCCCCAAGACATGTCCATATATTCGCGTTGCTCAGACCACTGGACCCACATTCGGATACCATCTTCTAGGAATGTTGAAATGAGACACAACCTTGCTATTGTTGGTAACACATGTTTTCCATGTCTTAATATCTAAATAAAAAAGGTCACTCAATTAGTTAATAGTCAGCACACGTCACAAATTTTAAAATAGGGAGGATGACGTGACCCAACTTCCACGTTTCTCCCTTCTTTTATAAATATGATGAATAACAACTACAACAATACGTCATAAAAACGAAATATGTCAACTGATTCATTTCACACATATTTCTATTTACCTGATCAGCTATTTCTTCAGCTTTTGCTAACCATTCTTTCTGGAGAGCCATGTTACTAACAGCTGTACTAACATAAGCAATTGTAAGAAATCGTGAGGAATGATGTGGAGAAAGACAGAAGAATAACTTCCGTAATCCACACATATTAATCTATAACACAACCAACATATATATATATATAAATATAAAGCAAAACTAAATTATGTAATGATAATTTAAAAAAGTTATAGAGTCACGTAATTAAATCCTTCCACGATGCTAATAAATAAGTAAAATTTTAAAATTACGAAGCCTCTTTTGATGTATTTCTAGTCAGGAAGTTCAACATCAAAGCGTTCCTATGTACTAATTTAACTTCTTGTATATTATATTAACAACTTATTTCTATTAAGTATATTTTAACTCATTTTAAATTGTACTTTCATTATCATTTTGATGCATTTCTCCTTTAACTTATATATAAAATATGTATAAAAGTCGTCGGAGTTCGTTATGTTGGTGTTGCTGCATATGTACTACACACGCTTCCGTTTGTATCCATACTTGTTAGAAGTAGATGTTTGTTTTGCTGTAGGAACGTTAAAGCCAAATAGAGGAAGGACGTTGTGTAAATTTAATGACGAAAGTTCATTAGTGTTGAATTCATGATGATAAATATGTATTAATTTAAATACGTTTTTTATGCCATTGTAAGGTTACGTGAAGCTTTGATTGAGGTTACGTGAGTAAGTGTTAAATATTGTGCACAATTCGGAATGCACGTCTTTTTGCTTTGGAGTATCGTCGATTGGATATAAAATAGCAATAAATCCCGTATGCCTTAGTTTTGCACAAATATTGCCATAAAGTTATGTTCTTTTCTGATACTCGTATTTTGTAGGGGATTTATCACTGAAAGAAACGATGCTGGAAGTAACTTGTAACGATCGTCTGGGGAAGAAAGTTCGTGTTAAATGTAACCCAGATGATACGATTGGAGACTTGAAGAAATTAATCGCCGCACAAACGGGAACTAGATGGGAGAAGATTGTCTTGAAAAAATGGTATACAGTTTTCAAGGATCATATTAAGCTACAGGATTGTATCCTTTCTATATAACCTCTACACACTTCTCAAATCAAAATGTCTGACACACGTGTTAGAAAAATGAAAATTATTTTGCTCCGAAAGTTATAATATATCAACTGACAGCAATATCATATTACAAGTAAAAGACCATGACATTTTGTTATATGGTTCAGCAAAATTGTACACCTGTAATAAAAAAAATGCATAACCCACTGGAATGTGAATTTATCTAATTTTTCAGTGCACCTAATTTCCAATCTTGCACTGATCATCAATGTAACTTTATGATTAACAATACAATAGTTGTTTCTTTTGATAAATTTGAAGTAGGCATTTGTAATCTAAATATATCCTTCAGTTTAGTAAATTTGTGCTAAGCATATAATAGGTAACAAGAGTGCCTTAAAATATCTAAACTTTAAATATGCATCTTGTTTTCCCATATTTTCACATCTTTGGTGAATGACACCTTAATGAGTTTGCACTTTGTTGAGAAATGTGCAAAATAAAAGCCTTGAGTGTAAGAGATGCTTCACAGAGGCATTTATTTGAAAATTTAGTGCTATGGCATTTTGCATGATTGTTATGATAACCTGCAACTGTACATATTAAGAGTATTTTATATATTTGGTGTGTAATATGTGTAAAAATTAGATAAAATGAAGTACCAAGTAGCAGTGTCCCTGCACCAAAGATGTGAATAGGATATTCCAAATACTTGTGTTTAGTATTCCATGTGTCCTATAATTTGTGATCTTCAATTAACTATGAATGCAGATGAAATACATGATGGAATGAATCTGGAGCTCTATTACCAGTGAACAGAAGACACTTGTGTTGGGACAAGTCTGCAAACACACTTCTGTACTGCACTCAAGAAGTGATTTAACAGAACAGTAATCACTACGTTATTAGTGATGTCCGTGGACATAAAGCACACTGTATCTAATCTCAGTATTCACTCAAGTCACTTTATAGTGAATTTTAATACCATATGTAAATTTTCTCATATTATCTTGCATTTCCATTTCATTCCTCCCCATAAAAGAAAAAAACGTTTCTGCACAATTTCAGAACGTTTGCTTTTAAAAATATTAGTATCCAGGTATCAATAATTACACATGAATCAGTGTTACATATTTGGAATAAAGATATTTTCTTATTTCTGTGCCATTTTCTGATATTTGTTTTTGCTGCAAACTCATGGAAATATTCGCAACACTTAATGTAATTAGGAACACTGGATTGATAAATGGCTGGTCTCTTCTGCTGCATTTTGATGGATGTACAAGCAAGTTTATTTTTCTGCAATGTTCTGCTGATTGCTCCAATATTGGTTCTGTATTTTGAGCTTCACAATTTGAAATGGTGTTGTACAAATTCAGTTTTTAAAGGTCATGTCTCTGTTTTAAGATTTCATATGTTACACAAACTTATGTACAGAGAATAATATTAAAAGAAATAAACAATTTCTATATTTGAAATGTGTTATATTATGTTGAAAATAACCCACCAAATAGTATAAATAAGAGCTGTCTTCTGGGTTGTTATGCCTTGTAGTCTGGTAAAAGTTTACAGACATTTGAGAGATTCATGTTGCCTCCATCACCCTGATGATGGAGGCAGCATGGGCATAGTAAACTTCTACCAGACTACATGGTGCAACAACCCAGAAGACAGCCATCCTCAAAGTCACCACTGTGAAAACCTCAAATCCTACATGTATAAATAAATTTGACTTTTCTATGTGTGCAGTGTTTGGTAAATTCCCAGTTACATGTAGCCAAAACAGATGTACCAGTAAGAGTTTATTCATATAGCAAGGCAAATGCTAGGTTAGTACTTTCTTAAACAGCTTGGCTTGTGCAACATACCTTGTGTAATTTTAGGAATTCTTGTCCTTATATTTTGCAGCTGAGTTCAATGTGTAACTTCAGCTTTCAGGTGTCAGCTATATGGAGTGTTAAATATTAACCAATGTATCAGCAATTTTAAGAATATGTAAATCTATGGTATCTTCTCCAATTCATCCCCTGATGGAAGATGTGCCAAATTTCATATAAATGCAATCAGTATTTTTGGAGATGAAATATGGACATGACATATTGTGCATTCATTTTATGCTCAATGAGCAAAACACTCATGAAAATCCTTCATTATGTTTAACAATACAAAAGAGTGATCCTTACTTGAAAAAAAAAGCCATATATTTCAGAAGACACTGACAGACTGAGCTTAAATCCCCAGAGGGCTCCTCAAATATAGAATTTCTGCTCTTTAAGGCAAATTCCAGGATGTGAGAGAACTGGAACATTTCCCATTCATTTTGTTCAGTTCAAGTTTCACCAAATAAATTGTTTGGACAACCTCTGTGGACTCTGTGAGATGAATATGGTAGTTTGTATTATTATTACTTTGATGTTATAAGCAACATTCCAAAATGGGGTCAGAAGGCACATGGAGCTGCTGCCAAGATCTCTCAGAGGTGTAGGACATTACAGTTACTAGATGAAAATAAACATTTGCAACTGTTTACATTTCATTGTCATGCTTTGAGTTGGGACAGCAGTCAGTATATGACTGGCTACAGATGGGATGACTTAAGATGATTCTCAGCAGGGCCAGGGATTTTTCTCATCACCAATATGCAGACCAGCTCTGGAGCATTCTATCTACTGGATACCTGGGGCTAAAGGAAAAGCAACTGAAGTCTGAAACTGACCACACACCACCACCAATTGAAATTAATAACAATGTCTTCATAGCATGGTACTTAATTAACCACACTCTTATTGCTAGCACCATCACACTGCATTCTGTTTTTTTAAGAATAAACACACCCATTATAGTTTTCAGGCTTCAATAACCATTGCCTACTTTCATAAAACAGATATATGGAAAGTAAACTTTTGATGCATTTCTGGCCCTGATAAATAGAAATAAAACAAAAATTCTTGATGTATATATTTTTAAAATTTACATAACACTTTGGAATGTACTGAAGGAGTGTCAAGAAATAAGCTTCTGTTGCCACCAGATTGTCTAAACAGGGATCATGGTGGCATTTAATTCTATCATTATTACGTAGTTTTAAATACACCTTACTGTTTTGTAGCACAGTAATGGAACAAGGATATTTTTTGAGATTCACCTACCTCAACTCATTTTTCTATACTTTCCAATCTTACAAGATTGTTACACTGCTTGGCAATCGGTCTTCACCTTTGGTTATTAATAGTATCTGGATTTTATATTGCTTGCAACTTTTTTTAACTGGTGCAACTTCCCATCACATCAGTACTACTGAATGGTGAAATACCAATCCCACCAGACAACTGTGGAGTAGCCAATGTTAGGTCTGGATCCAAGACACTTGATGCAGTTCCAACGAGATGAAGAGAGCCTGTGACCAATATGTGGGATTTGCAAGCTTCATCTTCAGTTTTCTTTTTGAGGTAAGCCAAAGTATCAGACATACATGGGAAGAGTTTTACTTCTGCTTTTGACTTAAATGAATTGCACGAATCATGAAAATTTATAGGAAGATTATTTGGAACATACAGTGGCTGGAGGCCATTAAAGGCACTGGATCTATTCTTTACATTTTCTTCTTGGAGTTCATGCCAAACGTCTTGAGTACTCCTGCATTTCTCAAGCTGCTGTGTTACACTGGTCATATAATTGGCCTGATCTGTAATTGAGAAAAATTATAACACAAAATACTGCAATACTATGAAAGCCGAAACATGTCGAGAATGTTCCATATGTAAATCGAGTACTCGATACGGAACAAAGGATAATATTTTAACCATCTAATTATCTTATATTACTTTGTTGTGATTGACGGACAATTTTAATATATTTTAATACTATTTAAATAAAATCACAATATGACGCACCTACAATATCAAATAAATCATTAATTAACTCAATTTATTTTCAAAAGTGGCCACACTTCTTACAAAATTCCCAGGTTAACTGAACTTAGTTTCCACATTTCCTTACATACCTGAACTGGAGTCAACACTGGTTGTGACACTGTTGGGGCAGAAAATGACCAGCTGAAAGCCACAGTTCAACAGTGGTAAAAGAAGTGCCCTGGGATCTCTGTTTCCTGTACAATTGAATACCAGCACACGGTATGGTATGTCCCTAAAAGGGATGCGATTTATTACAGGTCTTTGTCACAATGAAGAATAATTACAGTTAGAACTGTCCAAAATATACCTTTGGCTCCTATGACTCAGGTAAAACTTTTCATGCACAAAACTATATGTACAAGAGGTTTGAATAGTGACAAACAAAAATGCACACAACAGTATAGCAGAATGATAATACATATTATGTTTAGTTGCCAATGGAATTGATATACCCTTGAAATAAAGTTTCAAGATACAGAAATATGTTCACAAGTATGTGAATGGTGGGGATGAGGTTCTCATGGCAACAAGTATGAAGATGGTTGTCTTATGGGGTGTAGCATCATATAGTCTGGTACAGACTGACATTTCACAGGAAATTACTGCCCCCATCATCAAGATGAAAAAAAAGCCAGTCAGTACTCTATCTGTTGCCAGGAACTGACAAGAGTTCAAACCATGCTTGAATGGTCATCTGTTAAAAAGAATACCGTGTTTATCTGGACTAGAAACTTTAACAGGAAATGAAATGGGCATGTAATTTGCAGCTTTCTTTCCACCTGCACAGTTATTTATATTAATCCATAAGATGTGGACTTATTGTATTTGAGTTACAATTAAATCTTCAATAGTTCTAAAAGTTTTTAAATTAATCATCATTTCATACATTGCCATTCTGATCTATGTGATTCACCCAGCCTGTAAATTGCCCTAGAAATCTCATGTAAACCAGCGACTTACTTGGCCTTCTTCAAAACCATTCCGTATGTTTTCCCAGTGATAACTACCACAAGAGCCAAACATGACCTCTGAAGAGTGAAGGAAGTATGGGATGGATGCAGTATCTACCAAAGTACAAGGTGCTACATCCCATAAGACAGTTGCCTTCAAATCTGTATATTCAGTGAATTTATGTTGTTCAACACACAATGCTAAAAGGCAGCACTGAAGTTTTAATATGGTACATAACCTTATTTTGAAGAATTAATCCTATTCACAATTATTCTAAATTTATTCAAAGTGATTAGATACATATTGCTACATAAAAAATTAATGGCAACCCAGTATGCTTAGATATCATTAGCAACAATACTGGACTGACAACCAGCATATGTGCTTGAAAATACCATTACAGGAGGAAAACCATATTGTATCAAATAACAATACAAAAGTACTAATTAAAAGTAAGAACAAATCATTCTGCAAACTGTTTATACCATATATTAAATTTATATTCATTCAAAACTAGGATGTCATCATACACCAAGTAAATATGGATAAATATAGTGTACAGCTAAACAATACAGTGCCCCTCTACATAACACCACCCTTGCATTGCACCTATGAAAGCCTCAGAACAGAAATCCCATATGTAATTTCAAAGGGATCCCCCTGGCAATGCCACCCACATTAGCAGCTATCTGCCAAGATCTGTAGCAATACAAATGTACCATTACACACTATGTAGTGCAATGCCAGTTTATTTCAAATCCCTAACATATTCAGTAGAAAAGTAAGAAACTGTCTGTAGCGACTAGGGGAGGGAGCTGAGTCAGTGGTGTAAATGGCAACATTTCAAATCCAAGCAACTGCAGTAAATGAACTGCTACTCGGTGAGGGATTGAGATGAAAATGGAAAATTTACTCAGAATAAACTGCATACAGAGACAGGTAACATACCAAGAATTCTGGAAGAGCCATTACAGATCCATCACATTTTTCTCAGAGGGAGGGGTACACAAACACATTTCAGTTTGAAAACAATCATTAGGTTGCTCATGGTAAGGAAGTTCTACGAAGATGCAGGTGTGTGCTGTACAATCAGTGGCATCTGACATGGGAAAAAGGGTAACGTAAAGTGTTGGTGAAAATGGGATAATACATGGGCCTACAAAGAAAAATATCATAATTTAAACCAGCAAAACATTGCCAAGGGGTAAATCCATTACTCAGCACTGTAGACAGTCTGAGTGGCAAGCAGAACCAGTTTAAACTTACTGCCACTCCCACACTAATGCTAATACTGGTGGTGGTAAATGTTGGGCTCTAATGGGGTGTGACTGCATCATGCATGGGCTCACATACCCAGAGTACTGTATCAATATGATAATATCTGAAAAGCATTAGTTGATAGACTTGTACCTTAGACCTTTACCACCACACAAATTCAATTTTTCCAATTCTGTATTTCTGGTGCCATGTCTCTGCTTTTGAAATGCACCTTGTAATGACATAACATCCATTACATATAACCCATCCAAGTAGTAATTAATGCTATGGTAAAACAGGTTGTTACTGCTCAACTACTCATGGAGTAACAGACATGGAACTATCTTGCGAATAATTTAAACACATCAAGCTACTCAAAAAAGAACTGCACTTACTGTTTGGCAATTGCTTGTGAATTCTGAATGAACCAGTCAGCACACAACCATAAACTTTCACTGGTATGAGCACCATCCAGGAAGAAGTGAATCAACCCATCATTGATGATCTGGTTCCGCCCTGGCCAGGTACAAAATTTCAGACCTAATGCCATACTGGACGAAATTGGAAATGTCGGTGATACAGGTAACCATTCTTCTGATCCTGTACCATCCTTTGTTGTCAGTGCTGCACCAGCAAGTTGGTGGATGCCTGTCACAACAAATTTACAATACATCAGACATCAGTAATATAATACAAAGCCCTGTAATAAGAAATACAACAAAGAATACACAAGTAAGTGAGCAGTGGATTATTTATCTAGTTAAATAGCTGAGCTGCCATCAATGTTTCTAAACTGTTGTGAAAAATGAAAGAGCACACATATCTACTCTGAAGCAGTCCCCTTTTGAGGTAATACACCTTTCTCCAGTGATTCTACCACTTTTTAATTGCAATTCTAAAAATCTTTAAACATAGTAATTAAAAATTACAAACCAGTTGTATGCTGGCATATCCATGCATTTGCCAATTGAATGGCTAAGGATGCATTGACAAACTGTACATTTGCTACCATTCCGAACTCTGACTTGAAAGAACTCCAATCATATGACGCCAGAGGTGGGGCAATCAGCAAAGTGCTCTGCAACAACGCAGGGTTTTAAACAAGAGTCACTACATGAAGTGTACACAATGGTAAAAGAGCAGCCCCATGATGTGATGTAAAGAACACCTCTGGAGTTTTTATGTACACCAAGCAGTACATTCTTCTGTTCTTGTAATATTATCCTCCGATCTACAGCCTTGCAATTAGTCTCTTCCCTTCAGTTTTCTGACTAAAATTTCTGATATGTTGCTAACTGAATTGTTAATGACATATTTTTCTGTGTGTTTTATTGGGTGTTACGTGGAAGATATGTACTTAGGTGAGGGTATAATATTAAAATAGGCCTTAATGAAATAGGGTGTGAGGGTGTTGTCTTGTTCAATGTAGGGACCAGTAGTAGGCTATTGTAAACATGGTAATTAACCTTCCAGTTCCATGAAAAGCTGGGAATTTATTGGCCAGATGAGTGACTTCTGAAGAAGGACTCTCTTTGGAGTTTGAATGGTGACTAGGGTAGCATATTTACAAGCTTGAATGAGTTTTGATGAAGGTGGGTGTTAGAGTAAATAGTAAAATTTATCAACCTTTGATGGTTCAATTTCATAACATTACATTCAAACAGGAATTTTTAGACTCAGACTTTGAGTATGATAAAATATGTGTTATATTGAAGTTGTAGATGTAAACCTGCCAGACTAGTAAGAAGATTGGTCTAGAAAAGAAAACTGATTGTTCATGTCTTGTCTTCAGACTGCAGGCCAAAATTATAACATAAAGATAGCTAATGAAATCTTTGGAAATGTGGCATAGTTTAAATATTTTGGATCAAAATTGCATGTATGAATCAGTAAAGAACTGGCTAAATTTGGGGAATGATAGCTACCATGCAATTCGTAGTATTCTGTCTTCCTGAGTGCTGTATGAAAATATGAAAATCAAGGTACACAAAACTATAATTGTGCCTGTTTTGTACTGTCAGATTGAGGGTGTTCGAGAAGAGGTTGCTGAGGAGAATATTGGACCTAACAGAGCTGAGGTGACAGAAGGTTGGAGAAAATTATTTAATGATGATCATAATAATTTGTATTCTTTATCAAATATCAGGATGACAGAATCAAGGAGGATGAGATGGGAAAGGCATGTAACACACACACACACACACATATATGTGTGTGTGTGTGTGTTACATGCCTTTCCCATCTCATCCTCCTTGATTCTGTCATCCTGATATTTGATAAAGAATACAAATTATTATGATCATCATTAAATAATTTTCTCCAACCTTCTGTCACCTCAGCTCTGTTAGGTCCAATATTCTCCTCAGCAACCTCTTCTCGAACACCCTCAATCTGACAGTACAAAACAGGCACAATTATAGTTTTGTGTACCTTGATTTTCATATTTTCATACAGCACTCAGGAAGACAGAATACTACGAATTGCATGGTAGCTATCATTCCCCAAATTTAGCCAGTTCTTTACTGATTCATACATGCAATTTTGATCCAAAATATTTAAACTATGCCACATTTCCAAAGATTTCATTAGCTATCTTTATGTTATAATTTTGGCCTGCAGTCTGAAGACAAGACATGAACAATCAGTTTTCTTTTCTAGACCAATCTTCTTACTAGTCTGGCAGGTTTACATCTACAACTTCAATATAACACATATTTTATCATACTCAAAGTCTGAGTCTAAAAATTCCTGTTTGAATGTAATGTTATGAAATTGAACCATCAAAGGTTGATAAATTTTACTATTTACTCTAACACCCACCTTCATCAAAACTCATTCAAGCTTGTAAATATGCTACCCTAGTCACCATTCAAACTCCAAAGAGAGTCCTTCTTCAGAAGTCACTCATCTGGCCAATAAATTCCCAGCTTTTCATGGAACTGGAAGGTTAATTACCATGTTTACAATAGCCTACTACTGGTCCCTACATTGAACAAGACAACACCCTCACACCCTATTTCATTAAGGCCTATTTTAATATTATACCCTCACCTAAGTACATATCTTCCACGTAACACCCAATAAAACACACAGAAAAATATGTCATTAACAATTCAGTTAGCAACATATCAGAAACAGCATAAACACTTTATGCAGAAACATGTTTGAATCATAGTGGAAAGTTGCCCACACACAGCAAGACCAAAATGTACCTATAAAGTCTGAACTCAAAATGCAATAGGACACAAAACTGTAAAACCAACACTGGGCATTACAACGCAAATCATCAAGACAATGCCAAAAGAGGCCTTGATGGGCTTAGAACTTCAGGATGGCACCGAACATGATGTTAGAAAACTGACACCATTCATCTCCATGAGCAATCACAGGATCCAAACTATGGTGTTAAACTTCAGAATGATATTGCAAAGGATCATCAAAGTTGAGGGCAAACACATTGTAATATAAATTGCTTGTGATGCTGATTTGTAAGGTATTTTTATGCCTCATCATTCAGGTGAAATAAAGCATTAAACTTGGTAGGTACATTTCTGGCCATGATGTATATGACAAATAATCAGGATACTATAATCATGAAGACAAATTATTCCCAAATTAAGGTTGATTTCTGTATTCGCTAGAAAAATGAACAATCAAAAGTTACTAAAAGATTGATCCATGTGTAAAAAGCCAGTTACTCTTCTTAATCTCTTTAGTTCCTCCATCTCCCATAACTTGTCCTTACTTTCTTTTCAGAAGCTCTTTGTTTGAGAACTTTTAATGCTGCTTTTGGCTGCTCATCCACTGTAAAAGTGATGCTTCCAGGTTTCATGATTCCAGCTTTCTGCCAAGCAATTTCTTCTATTGTGTTTCCAAGCACATTTGTGTGGTCAATGCCTAGTGATGTTATCCCAACAGTTGAAACCTGTCTAGAAGCCACAAAGTTCATGAATTTATATGAAACAATTTTATCACTTATCTGTCCATATACGGAATCAAAATACATAAAATAAAAAAATACATACTTTGACTATGGCAGGTGCTGGAGAACAGTGTGTTGAAGAGAATATTTGGACCTAAAAGAGAAGCAGTAATAGCAGGCCAAAGAAAACTGCATGAAGCTTCATAATTTGTACCCTTCACCAAATATTATCAGGGTGATCAAATTAAGGAGAATAAGAGAGGTAAGACATGTAGTCAGAAAACATGAAAGGAAAATATCACTTGAAAGAACTAAGCATAGATGGGAATATCAAAATGGATATAAAACAAACAGCATTTAAGAGTGTGGACTGGATCTGGATAGGATCCAAGGCTGGTTCTTGAGAATACAGTAATTAACCTTTGGATTTTGTAAAAGATGGGACATTTCTGACTAGCTGAACAACTGTTAGCATCTTCAGAAAGGTTCTGCTCCATGGAGTTAAGGTAGGTTATTAAATCTCTCATGTGCATATGGTAGCTGAACATTATTCTCACTTTGTCCAACTATGTACACCCTACTAAGAGCTGGAGTAGCTCAGTCAGCATACTGACTGACTGACTACAGACTGGACAACTGGGGTTTGATCCCCAACAAGGGTAGAGGATTTTTCTAGCATGACTTTGATCACTCACCCCTATCTAGAGCTGAGGTTAAGAATGAGTAAGAGCTATACCTCCTCTCTCCCCCAAGCACCTACATAGTGTACAGCAGGACAGTTTTGTTTTATTTTACTTTTAAGTACGCCCTACTTGCTTATCTGTATTTATATTCAAAATGCCCAGTGATTATGAATGTTAATAGTTAATATAGAAATTGCAATATTAGACAACCGAGTCATTGCTGATATGATGGGTGTCTGAAAGACTTTATTAATTTCATCAGCAATTCTGACCATATTATTTAAAATAGCCATTGTTTCACATTTTAAATTTGATTTCATAGCAGAAACACAATTAGCAAGTTCATTAGGCACACTCTTATGTGTTAGCTGCAAGCAATACAGTATACAAAGGGGTGTTACATGTGACTGTTAGTGTTGTTATACATAAACATGGTACTAGCAGCAGATTAGAACTTCCTTTGAGAAATAAAAAGATTGTGCATCATATTATTTCAATACATTTATGATTATTTTAACTATAAGACATATCTGCTCCTTTAAATCCTAACCTTTACCACTACCCTCCACCTAATGTATGTTCATCATCATTTACAGATGTATCATTTATCACATAATTATCCACAAAGTTATTGCTTTCACTTTGTCTGATTCTAATAAACTTTCTTCCAAACAGCTTATACATAAACTCTCTGCCACTTTTTTATCTAACAGTACAGCTTATTTCTTCCTACTACCAGTGGCTTCCACGGCCTTAATGTGAAAATGAACTACGTAGACTTCTGATTTCACAAACACACAAAACTTCCTATACCTTTTCAAAATGTGTTACAAATTGAACTACAAACTGCCTACTGACAATCATTCACTTTTGTCTCCAGCACAGTTTGACAGCCTGTATAGAAAGAAAATTAACTGTGGAACAGTCCATCATAAAATAATATGCCACCCAATTTCAAGTCAAAGGAACATCAGGTGAGGAACAGAGATAATATGATCTGCAAATTATGGAACCAAAGGGCAGCGTGTTGGAAGAACAAATGAGAGTTGCATGCCCTTGCATGTCATCACCAACATTCAAGCCAAACCAACTTCAGAGAACTGATCTTATGAACCATGAAACCTCTGTCCACTGAGAAATATGATATCCACATGAGTTATGTATGAACAAAAAAGTAACCAGATTGGCCACTAGCTACAATCTCAGAAATGGATGTAGAAACTTTTCTTCAACTTCACAGACCTGGCCATTATGAACACATTGATCATACAAAGGTTCTGTGTGGGAAATATGGCCCACAAGAAATTCAGAAAGTGTCTTGTAGAATTATGCTATGAATGTAACAAAAAATTGTACTGCCCAAAGAAAAGTGATGCAGCCATTCTACTGAGCAGACTCAAAGTTAAATATTCAATAAACTGAAGTACCAAAGGAATCTGAGGCAGTAAAATCTGTTCTAAAAATTAAATAAGAAGAGTGTGATACATCTTTTAATAAATCTGACTTCACTGTGCACTGTAAGTTCTCAGATGTGTTACACTAAAGCAGTTTTCAACTTGTTTCTACAGCTATAAGCAAATGTGTCGTATAGATGCATGTATATGCAAACGTAGCAGTAAATTACACTGTAATAATCTAGATGCATCATTTGTATTTGTTGATATACAGTACACAATTTATTCCTGTCCAGCTGTGCCTGGATGATGGTAACTACATAGCAACCTAAAAACCATAACAATAAACTGACAATATACAAATGTGAGTAAACTGCATGTTGCAGTCAGTGCAGAAAGAATAATTTTTGTTGGTGTGAGTAACAAAAAATTTTGGAAAACTTTTACCTGTATTTTCTATCCACAATGTGCAACAGGAGAATGCATATTTTGTATCAAGACTGAGTGCTCTTCATGTCTCTGCACCTATATGTTATGAGGCTGTCACTCTTTTCTGTTATCCAAATATATAAGAACATAAATAATCATTCCTCTTTCTGACAGGTTCAGTGATTTAATCTGTGCTTCAATGATAAAGTGACTCCTATTTGGATGCTATGGCAATAAGGTCTGCAACTGTGCAAACGTCAGACCACACAGCCAATGGCAGGAATAACTTCAACATAACAACTGCACTTTCCTGGCTGAATGCTTCCATAATGTACTACTGGTAGCTTCAGTGGTTCAGATTCTGTGAATACTACTAGTGTGTTTAAACCAATACAACTCTGAACACAGAAACCCATGACATGAGAATGCGTGTGCACATCTCCCCCACCAAGCAAGCTTCACCTTGTTTATAGTAGTCACATTCTGGAAATGTGTGTGTCAACAAAGACACCAATATTTACTTACAAAAGGAAACAAGGGAATATCAGTTTACCTGAGTATGTTTGTACAATCATACTCTCCACCAATTCCAACTTCTACAATGGCAACATCTACCTTCTCAGACAGAAAAACATAGAATGCCATCACAGTCAGGAATTTAAAGTATGATGGCATGTCATTATTGCTTTTCTGAAACAAAGAAAAAGAAATAAATTATAACTCTAAACTACTACTATTACTACCAAAGTAATAATAAAAATGAACAGCTAAAGCCTTTCTTTACTGATTTTAGGTGTTCTTCATGCTCTAGCATGAGTGAAGAACACCATATGGGCCGATCAATGCCTGTCTGCTGCAATTTTCCTAGGAGGTAGGCAATTAGTATGACCAAGGGCCATTGTGACACAACAGAAGGAATCGATTGCTAAGTTGGACACCCCTCCTATTTATGATGCTCTGGTACAAAGTAGATGAACCAGGCCTCAGCACTGGGACTGCCTTCAATGGATTTGGTCATCACAAGACTATACCACTTCCACTGTACCCCTTGGGACACCAAAAGGCAGTGCCCCCCATACCTAGTCCCAACTGGGATTGTTTACTTAACCCCTGGGGCTTTACCACCCAGGCACTTCCCCAAGGTGTTTGCTTTGTTGGTGCTTGGCCCTTGCACTTCCTGTTCCTGGAGCTCTGCCCCTCACATTTTCTATCCCATGCCTAACCCACCAGGGCTCTGAAATTCATGCATGTGAAATATGAAAATAAAGTTGAATGTCAACTATTTTTTTCTGACACAGCAGACTAAATGACAAGTCAAGACACACATCTCATCACTTCTCTCCAGGAGTGAAAACAGCAACTCCTAACCTTATATCTTCCTGCAAACTTGAAATTCAGAAAATAAATTTTAGTAATAGCATTCAATAGAAATCACTCAACTCATTTTTATAATCATCTAAATCATTAATGTTCTGGTAGCAAACAATACAAATGTTACAGGAGAGGCAGATAGAGTTGAATACTTTTAGCAATGTCAGAAAAGTTGTAAAATCATGAACTAGCACAGAACTGAAACCACCACTATCATCAATAGCTGTACTGGATGCTAACAAGAATGAGAAACCATCAATACAAAACATATTAAGACTATAAAACTTAATACTTGGATAGCAGAACCTTACTACTTGGATAGCAGAACCTTTCAGTTCAATACCATTAATATACCAAAGTGTGACCAAAGTTTGAGTCAATTTCATCCATCTCTCATCTTCATAATGTTATCTACCATCTTCTTTTCAGTTCAACTTTATCCTTACTGTACTTCATCAACTCTGACTCCCAAGCTCCTATCCTGTACAGACTCTTGACTTTCCACGTACCAACTGTTGTGCCCTTCAAACATCGCCTATGTCATCCAAAGAATTCATCCAATCCTGGTGTGAGCATAATGTTTATTTTAAATACTTTTAGATTCATAAAATGACAAATTTTGAAAAGCATAGTGAATAATGTAACTGTCTGGAGACAATTACATGTTTTTATATCTGAAACCACACTGAATTTGGCTAAGTATCAAAGTATCACCAATGTCACATACCCTTAATTCTAGTAATGAATTATAAATGTTCCAGAAGTATTTGGCAAAGTCAGACTGGCTTAGTGGCTGTCCATTTATCCGGATTCTTTCTCTGACTGCAACAAGATGTGGTGATGAATAAAAGCCTGTCTTGTAACCATGATGGTGTAAGATAGATTCACAGAAGGCACAAGTTGATCCCTTGCCTTTTGTTCCAGACACATGAATAACTGATAATTCATCTAGCTTTTCTAGGCTCACCCCAGATCTAAAAAGAGTATTGGGATAAACAGTATAATATGGAAGGAACAAGTAATATATGTACATCTTGAAAAGCTATGATCATAAGCATTTCAAGAAAGGGACTAAAATCAGATTTTGTAAAGTACTAGGTAGTTGTTCCTGCACAGCATAAGATTCATGCTTACATCAGATTCACAAATAAATTACAAGCCAAAAGTTAATAATTTTATAAAATTCTACAACATACAGACATGTAAGTAAACTAAGTTTTCTGTGAGAACCTAAACCTCTAATAGCAGGGTCCGGATTATAAAACATATTCAAAAATTTATAATTACAAAATCATACAAAATAAAAGTCCAAAGTAATCACATCAATCACAATGAAATAAAATAACTACACTTTGGACACATTATCATTTATGGATTCCCAAACTCATTTTGACTCAATCTGCAACAAGAAGTCCACAGCATTCCTTACAGATTTACTGATTCTTAATACACTTAACAATGCCTTTTTTCCTTAGTTCTGCAGTGTCAAATAATGGTATGATCTGCGTGGAATGAATGTGAAAGGAATTGAGGCTTCTTCTTAACATAAAATTTGCATTTGCACAGAGAAACTGAGGAAACCCACTAAAACTCTCAGCCAGGGCAGCAACCCTTACTTTACAATTTTATATTAAACAATCCCAACAAGTACATACCTTTCTAAGAATTTAATAGTTTCTTCAAATTTCTTGATTTCTGAATCATGTGAGTGCCTGTCTTTCTTTTCCAACTCTTTTATAAAAGCAGTGTTGGTTTGTAAGGAGTTTAAAGCTTTCACAGCTTCCTAGAAATCACAATATCACAACTTTATTAACAAGAGTGGCTGGTCCATACCACCGAGAACAAACTCAAATTATTATCCATATTTGGTGGTGTCTATAGACATCAGAACTGGTTAGAATATATGCGTAGAATAGATAGGATTAACAAACACAAATTATTACCCATATTTGTGGGAATCTACATATACAATAACTTGTTTAAGTAGGAGTGTAGAACAAATTATATTATCAACTATACGTAAAATCTATCTTACTCTATTATAAACTCATAAAGTAAAAAGCTGATGGTCCCATTATCTAAACACCTACTACTGAAAATCCAACCAGTCTCTGAAGATGTCTCATGGAAAACCAGCTATTTCTTGGACCACTCTTTGAGAACTACTGCTCTACAATATAAATGGCCATTCACTTAAATTTCTGTAAGTTCTAAATTTGCTCTCTTTACACAGTAAAAAACCACGCTGCATCAGAATGTGGTAATACAAAGCATCTGCCAGTATGGGGCACTGCCGGCATTGGTGGTAATACCTAATTCTGCTGGTAAGGGCCCTTCACACAATATATACAAGATAGGAATATGTATTCCATATCAGAATACACATTATATCCTTATGTGTTTTTTGTTGTGTGCATTTAGAGGTATTAAATCCACCTTGTCAATAATTTACACTTTGACCACTAATCACAGCACCTCATCTACCTTACAAAGTTCCTCATCCATAATTTTGTTATCACTGCTTGGAGGATGTTCAAAATATGATTTTGAGGTAATGCAGAATAGCACACCTCCACATCAAATTTCATCCAAATTGGTCCAGTGGATCTCGATTTGAACCAACTGGACAGACATGACAAGCTCATAATGCATTCTTGCTATGCATTTAATGCAAAGAATGCATAACAAATGTAATCATGCTCAATGAGATTGCAGCAGGAGTGAGTGTACATTAATAAATAATAATAACAGAAGAAATATGACAAAACTAGTGTGAAATATCAGCCATGGTAAGAAGAAGAAAATCACTAGGCTCTATTAGAATTATGGCATGTAACAAATATGAATGAAACTCAGAACAAGTATGGGTTTCTCAATGTGTGGATAACATGAATAAAGCTTATAATGTCGGTGAGCTACTCAATCACTAGGAAAATTACTAAAAAAAACTGCAGAAAATAAAAGTGATTTTATTACAAGGCGTTACCATGTAAAGTACGTAAACACTGTAGTGTGTTGGCAATTAATGTTGAAAAAGGACAGTGCTCATAAGTGATGTTCAGTTTCTTCATTTTTAATCCTAAATAACTAAAATGCGGAAAGGAAAGCAAAGGAACAATGCAAAACCCTCTTGGGGTTGGCAAGCAAAGTCAAACCATTACATTCTGCTCAGCCATCACTCCAAAACATTAACAAGTTTGCTACAGACTTTTCTTTAAGCAAAGGACACAACTAAACCCATCACAAATCCTTCAAATCTACCTAAATAACCAACATGATATTACATATGGTTAACTTGCCACAAACTATATTCATTCCTACAAGGCCACACAATTCACCTCCAAGGCCAAAATCCATTCCCATCATGTCACATATGTTGGTGAAAATCTACAAAAATCTTATTAGAAGTCAATGGTACTAACAGGTGATTTTAATTAATGGTAACAAAAGTAAGCTCAATAACTGATGCTGTCATAAAAACATTCTAACATAATCACAGTAATGTAGTATTAAAAGTAATTGAAATGTCTATAAATATTAGAGTTAATTACATAAACGAAGGTCACGCCAAATTCATATATTAATTTTCTAAGAAGTTTTGCTTTAAACTGTAACACTAAAACTATTCTGAAAACCATATTATTCACATGGCGCAATTTCTAACCTTATAACCCATGGCAAGATTATGTGAAAACATTGATGATGAAAAAGTCCACGAAATCTTGGACTACTATGCATAAACGTTGGGCGCCAAACAAGAAAATGATGTCATCACATCCTATGTCCTTAATTACCATATACTCATGCATTATGCCCTTGAATTTAAATAATTCAAATAAACGTGCTACCAACATAACTACTAAAAAATATACATAGCCAATCAGTTACATAGTCATGCATGCCAAGAAATTGTTATTCTTGACAGTACCTCATAATTATAAAAACCGGGAGCAGTAAAATTAACAATAGATTTCAACGTTGTAACATAGTACTTCTTAAATATTCTTGAAATCCGCACTAAACCGCGCATATTTATTAACAACAGATGACTCAAGGCAGTAAGTAAAATATCAAGTACACACTACAAATATTGAGTACCAGGATACGTCACGCAGATCAGTTCCGAATTTGATCCAAAAACTGTTGCAACGTACATCACGAATGAGTATTCCTTGAAATGTTCATTGCATGCTAATTCAATCACCGTCATTTTTGATCTATGCCCTTGGTATAGCGTTATATTTCCAATCATATCCAGATTGATCGGGATGTAAAACAAACCACACACGACGTAGTATTGTGGATTACGTCATACAAACGAACCAAAACCATGAAAAACTTCAAGCGCAACAGTCTGTATTGTGTATAGCAGGGGTCAACCTGGTCCCTACCGCCCATTAGTGGGCGATTCAAGCTTTCATGGTGGGCGGTAGGGTATTTTGTCCGTTGTTACAAATTTTGTTCTTCCTCCATATATCGAACACATTGCTAACAACTTAATGCTATACACTGTATAGCATTAAATTTGACGGAGGAAACCTCCATGTTAATAAAAACAATAAAAAAGTGGGAGATTTTCCGGGAGTAACTAATTCAAATGTGTACGTAAGAGAATTTTTGATTTTTCTCACTTCCTATATCAGCCAATATTATAAGGATAGCACGCCCTTTAAATACAAAAAACTCAAGAGAAAAATCTGTTCCAGAAACAATTTGCCTACAAATCATATTTAAATTGCCCTGGCCCCACACAACTTCTGTAATGTTACCTACCTAAGGCATGATTGACTAAGCAGAGTGTAAATCTCTGTTCTTTGCCTTTGATGTGTATATAGACAAAGTTTTCCATAACACCAGTTTAAAAAAACACCATTTTTTGGGTACATTTAATAATCTGGGACTGGAACTAATAAAAGTTGGCACAGTGTATAATACCAGTGACACAATCAAGTACAATAATTACAACAGCCTGTAGGGGAAGCAAAAGGGAAAGATATTCTCATTATTAAAATCAGATTTTTCAAAATCAGTCATAAGTCATTGTTACCATTATTAGATCATCATAAATATTTGAGTTTGAAAGCCTGCCATACTATTACTTTAAGTCATTCAGTTATACCTGTCAGATTAATATGTTTTCAATTTTATGACCAGAAAAATGTAGGAAATTCTCTACATAACTTAACCCAAAGTGGTCTGGAAATCATCATTGTGAACCAGCCAAATTCTCCAGTAAAGTCACATAGTCTGGAAGGAAGAGGTCAAGTAACATGTGCACGCATATAGAAATGCTATCACAGGCAGCAGGTGACAATGGAATGCCACATACTATAAAATCACACAAACCAACATGCACTACATATTGTCTGATAATAAATATAACATCTCTGAAAAAAATTGAATCATATTCTCACATCTAAAGACAACATTTTTCACTAAAATCAGAAATTTATTCAGTTTTAAACATCCTTTGGATATGAAACAAACTACATATTCTAAATTGTACAAGACTGTATGGTACACGTTATGAAACATCAACAGGTAAATGGTCATAAACACACTGCAGTATCTGTTTAGCTGGATGAACAAACATTTTATGTAAATGTTGACATCTGTAACTATGAGGCTGTACCTCAGATAATTAAAATTTAATTCATGTCATTTACCAATTCAATAAACTGTACCCATGTCACAGCACTGGAAAATTTCTATTAAACATGAAACCTTTAAATTTTAATCAGCAATGACCCCTTTGAAAGTACTATGTACACTTACTACTTAGACTACACTGTCTAACAAGGGGTATTTTAACTCATTACACTAAATTACAAGCAAATCCTAAGTCCATTCAGACTGCTGCACTGGACAAAAGATACTTGCTGAAATATCAACACTGGTTTATTATTACATGGCAACTGTTCACAATAACAAAATAAAAATTATTCTGAATGAGAGTCAATGTATCTTTTCAACACTGCACATAACTAACATCTGAGGATGTGTTGTGTTAGCCATTGAGATTATGCTTACAGTGGATGCAACATCACTCTGAGCTTGGATGACCATTACATTTCATACCATGTAAATATACACATTCAGGAGGGAGGGGAGGATCACAAAGTGTAGCACATTAGAGATAAGCCAGTAATTGTATACTATCACATGCAAAATAATTATGTTTGGGCTGTAGAAGTTGTATGTGTGGGTTAAGACATGGCCTGAATTGCTAATGTTTTACACTTCCTATGATTCACAAAATGCAATGTAATTAAAAGAAGATGTATGAAAATGTCATCTACATCTCAGAATTAAAAGGAGAAAAACTGTTTTCAGTTACATAACACATCTTACTCCCCCTTGCCCTTTCACTATCTCTTCGTTCCTTTCAGTGACAAATGAAGCTCAGTTATTTTGCATCCACTGTACTTTTATAATCCACAGATGACCCTGTATGATATGTACACTACTTACAATTTTTTTGACTAGTTCAAATTCATATATCGAGTTAAACATATTCTTGGTTACTTGAATAATTCAGTTCTTTAAACTAATAATTATACCTTCTGTTATAGCAGTCAATTTATAACACTGTACAGGAAAATCAGAACAACTATGAAGAAAATACAGAAGTGTGGAAATAAAAGGATCTCATAAATACAATTCAAAGTTTTGTCATTGTAGCTGAATGTCCCATAAATCTAAAAATTTGGTAAAAAGGATTTAGGTCTTACTGTCTCTTAAACTACAATATAGCTTTCTTTAATTCATTATTCAGGAAATAAAATATCTGTGGCTGGTTAGTTTTCCTTAGTGATAAAAACTCAATAAGCAACGCAGTTTCATAAATGACTACAAATAATTTTATTTCATTATACTCATGCACAGAGAAAATGTTATTTGCATACTGATAAAACCATTCTTATAGAAGTAATTTCTATCAAGTGCTCATAACTGGAGACAAGCACACTATCTGCATTTTGAAGCACAAGATAATGCAGTACTATCTGCCTGTTCTTCACAGTTTGATGCTGAATAGAGTGACACCATTAATCACTGGTTTATTAAATAATATATTTATTTCTTAAAAGTACCTAATTCCCCCTAATATAAAATAGCCTTAACAAATTAATATGAAATACATAAAATTCATTCAGGCTATATAACAATAAATTACATATTTTTTCACAAGAATCTAATCTTTGCCCTTTTTTTTTACATGCAAGTAGGACCTTAAATAGTGATTACTAAGTAGCCTCTGAAGACAACACATGTATGAGTTTACATATCAACATTTCCTTATAAGAGAGACATTAAACATCACACAACTTTCAAAACAAAAACTTTTTGGGCCTAAAATGGGTAATTTAAACCACATGATCTTGGATTCTGAACTTCCAACCATGCACAATTTCAATCCCAAATCCAGCAGGAGTTTTTATGCACTATGATGCATCTTCAATTTTGTAGTCTGATAAATATGTCTTTAAAACAACTCTGACATATATTAATTAAAAGTAGTACTTGCCACTTATACATAGTAAGCTTGTTCAATTCGTATCACAGAAGACTTCATAACAAGTGTCTAATTTATGA